ATTACTTTTTAACTTATAAAGCTATAAAAAATACAATATTTTAGTAATTTTAATACTAATAGTAAAGTTATAATATCCTTATTATTACCCTGCCTACCTAACTATAAGTTACTTTCCTAGTTACCTTTACTTATAGTCTTTTTATTACCTTACTTCCTATAATACTAAATAAAGTATTATAAGTTAATATAAAATCTTATATAAAAGGAAAGGTAAGTAGTAAAGACTATAGCTATAAAGAAAGAGAAATATAATACTTTTTATTTTAGTAAGAAAATCTATTTCTTAAATTAGGCCTAATTAGCTACTACTATAATTATATTACCTAAGTAGCTATAGTTAATAGTTAATTTAGTATTATAAAAAGCCTTAAACTTGGCCTTTTTTAATTTTAGCTATTTTTAATATTATATAAAAGTTAAGGTATATAAAATTATAAAAAACATACCTAAAAGTAACCTTGGTTAATATATTAGCCTTTTATGCCTGTATTAGCCTTTTATACCTAACTAAGCTTGCTTAGTTGGCCCCCCCCCTGGCTCGAGCCAACGGGTATAGGAACCAAGGATTGACGGTTGAGACGTGTTATATTATAACAATCCTGGAGATTTACAGTTATCGTAGACGGCATATCGAATGATTCTTGGCTTTACTCTTGGCTACATAAAAGAGAAGGAAAAAATCGGAGCCGCAAATAGCCAAGATATTTTGTGTTGTTCTAGAATAGGGTAACCTTGTTGTGATGCATGGATAGAGTGGCGGGGAGACGGGGAGATCCACTTATACACGGAGACAAGTCCGAGTCTCCAAGACCATAAGATGGGGTAGTTTTGCGGGTGAAGTATTTGAACAACGAGTTCCCCGACAAAGTCTTGGGTGTGGCAGCTTCTTGGTTGTTGGTTCTTCAATTACCCAATTTGGAAGAGTCATGCATACAATTACATCACACGATAATCTGTCGTCACACGTTTGACACCGCAAGCACAAATGATCAGTCAAACCCTTCGTCAAACATTAAGTCTATCAAGATACTAAAGCATGCTGATCCCCCAGCTTTCTAAACGATCCTTCCCCAGACTTTTTTGTCATCCCTAATAAGTATTCTTGGTAGCCAAGCCCCAGAAGTAAGCCACCCACGCGCCAAGAATAAGCACAATCACAGCAGAAAAGTTGATAACACCCAACTTCTTATGCTTCTCTGCATGCCCCTCACTCTCAAACTCCCGCTTCTTCTCGTTAATGATGTGCCCATTCGCAACTCTCTTCTTACGGCTCCACTGAAGCTGTCCGATAAAGTCTGTCGCGAAACCTAAAGCAATCATGATACCGGCGACGACGACGGAACCAGCTGCTAGTGTTACGTAGAGAATAGTGACGTTGTCGTACTGGTTCTCGTCGCGATCTTGGAGAACACCCGCGATGAGACTCACGATGATGGTCATGCTGTTGTTGATGGCGATTTTGATGGCGTACCCTGAGCCAAAGACTTCTTGGTACCACATGCTTGTGCGGATGCTGTCGATGATGACTGTAGGGCCAAAGGAGCTGGCGACAGCAAAGATGCCGAAGCTAGCGGCTGTACCCGAGACTGTAGGTCCCCAAGCAACAAGACACATGGATAGAAGCATGCCTAGTCCACAGACGAGCATGATCGTAAGACGCTGTCCAAGCATGTCGACAAAGATACCGACTAGCGGAACAAAGAAGAAGCCGAGGTACTGTGACATGGAAGAGTACCAGCCCGCCTTGACAGCTGAGATCTTGAAGCGCTGCTCCGCAAGCTCAGTGCTATTCGTAGAGAACACATTGGCCGTTGACGTTTGAAAGAGCGAGAACAAGCAGACCAGCCAAAACGACCAAGGCAGGGTAAGCATCTTTCCAATCTCAAACTTCTTGTTATTCTCCGTCAACTTCTCCCCTGTCGCAGGGTCTCTGGTGCCCGAGTATCTCTTCTCACACCACTTGGTAAACCACCAAAAGAACAACGTCGCGACGTTTGTGAACAAGTTCATAAACACAGCCATCCAGTACGCCCAGCTAAAGTTGCCGAGATTATCAGCGATGACGTTGGCGGTGGCTTTTCCGACAAAGGAGCCGATCTTGCCGATGCCTAGCTCGAAGGCGAGTGTTGATGCGAAGCCAGAGGAGGGCGGGAACCAGGAGGAGAAGATCTTGTATTGGGCGACTTGGGTCGCGACGTCGCCCAGGGCTTGGATGACGATGCCGCCGATCATGAATTTGTAGGAGCGCACTTGGGTTGCGGCTGCGACGAGGATGGCGCCGGCAGAAAAGACGGCGTTGCCCCAGAGCATGGTGCCTTACTATGTTAGACACGTTGTATAGTGAGGGATTGGTGTACATACTAGCTCCGCCATAGCGATCTGTGAGAATACCACTGACGAGGATGAGGGCGGTTTTGATAAAGTTCTCGCTTGTATCAAGAACAGCATACTGAGTATTCGTGATGTGAAGTTCCTGTCTAGGTTAGCCAACTTCTCCAGTGAGAGATGGTAGACCTACCTTTTTGAGGGTACTCTTCAAAGCACCAGTGACGCCACTACTCCAATGACCTCCAAAGCCAATCATACTAACGATGACGACAGATAAGATCTTCATGCTCAGGGGCACAGGCTTCTTGCCATGGTCATCGCTCCCGCTGTCCGAGTGGTCAGACATGGGAGTGATGGTCTCGGTCTTGGGCTCTTTAGACTCCATGATGCTCTGATGATGAAGAGATGAGATGAGATGAGATGGAAAAGATTATCAGATAAAACAGCAACGGCTGTCAGGTCTTTATCAGATCAATCTCAGTGGGGTCACACTCCGATGTTTATATTTTCTCGACAAGGTTTTCTTTTCTCACGTTCGAAGCTAGGGAGTGTCTTAGCGGCCCACTTGGCGCGTCACTCACGCGAGCTGAGTCTGGACCCTCGCAGTGTCTGACCACTATTGAACGTTAAAACTCTTCTAAAACCATTCCAAAGGGAGGATCTTTATAATAGCGGGCGTATCCCCGGACATGTCTTTATCCTTCTTCCGCCAAAATCTCACGTCCATGACTCTTCCAAAAGCAATTCTCTTCTTTTAAAAGTACACGAGTTTGCCATCTGATAACGCGTCCCCCGGTGGCTCAAAGCCCGCTAAATTTACCGTCTCCTCGGGACATGGGTGCAAATCTCTACCGTAAGGAGCTAGACCCCCCGAAACCGCCTGACATCGGAGCGAGAAGGTTTTATCACAGTGAGACACCAAGACCCGCAAAACTCTTCCTCTCTCCCACTTTCTCACTGTGAAAACAAACATCAAAGATCATCGCTTTGCAGCTGATCTGATTGATAACATAACGCTAAAAATGGCCTGTTTATGCGGGTGCATCAATCAACTGATTGATAACTTTGATCCGAAAACGGCCGCGGGTCTTGCGTCAGGCCTGAATAAGCACCTCGAGGCCATCCGAAGCATCCTCGCTAGGAATAAATCCCTCGCCAAGGAGGTGCGCTACCAGATCATACCGAGCAACCAGCGCACAGCAAAGATCCTATCGCTGCATTCTATCGATCTTGTACGGATTGAGAGGCTGCATGGCGTTTTTAAAAATGACGTCAAGGGCTTTTGGGTAGCGGCTGGTGATGCGTTACACCAGGAATTACGAAGGCGCATTTCGTGTATTACGATATTTCTGAGATCGAAGGTGGATGATAATGCGTGGGCGTCGCATGATGTCGCGAATCTTACACAGGGACGTACGTTGTCGGAGTTGAGATATGCGGGCAGCAAGTACATCAAGATCGCCCGACGACTGGGAGGGATTGGGTCGATCCTCTGGCTGCCGCTAGAAATACCGGCCTCGACGTAAGTGATGGAGGTCTCAACCAATCGGCTGAGCTGACGAGATCAGATACGAGCGTTACCTAAACATGGATGACGCCGAGGCTTTTGATCACATCCAGAACCTAGGCTCCGACGCGCCAGACCTCAACCTTTTCGTGCAGCGCCTCATCACGGCTCAACTTGACGGTCGGTAACGCTTATATCCACGCGAGGTCCGTGCTAACTAATACGTGCTAGACCCCTCGCTTGTCCTGTCACATCGAAATTTACTGCTAGAGTATGGAGACTGCATATCACCAGCCGAGCAGGGTCTTCTTCTGCTGCATGCTCTTGGCGGAAATGACATTCCGCTCGATTTGTTGAAATGTGCCAAGATTCCCATGAGGCGATGGACCAATGAAGGAGAGATCCAGAGCATAACGGCCTCCGATTTTGGGTTCAGCGCTGAAATAATCGGGCTGCTGTCTAGTGATGAGCGTCTTGCGGAATTGGGTCAACGGCCGGAGGTTACGCAGCAGGCGTTGGAGGATGGCACGATTATCTGGTCTTTATCGCCTGAGGCGCAAAAAGAGCTTTCCCATCGATTGACACCGCAGACGACGGAAGATTGGGCGACGACTGCGCTCAGGTTGCTATGCTTTGCGTGTCCTCCTTGCTACGAAGGCAAAGTCAATTGGTACGCCCAGTACGCTCCCCTCCAGCCCTGCCTTGCTGTTGACTAACAATAATAGGGCGCTGCCGCTCAAAAAAGCGATATGGAATCTTCTTGACAAAGCGACGAACCAGAAGCGACTTCCCTCATCACTTCGCGCATGCGTCATCGAAGCTCTTCTCTTCTTTTGCGAACGCGACCTCTTCACAATCCGATCTGCCGCCGTGGAACGAGCAAAGTCGCTTCTTCGCAAGAACATGTCGTTCTACTATCAAGCATCAGTCACCCTCTTTGATAGTATAATATCACGCATAGACGGAAATTTTCAGCGGTCGGAAGCTCTAATCGTTGACTTTTTAGCAGCTGATCATGAAGGAAATACACGATCTGATAATGCATTACGAGGAAGATTGCACATCTCGAATATTGAGAATAAGATACACCGATATGACCCAGCAGTTGCATCGACGATATATAACTGGGAAGGAATTCATCCTCTTTCGACGTTTGAGATTGAAGTTACGAGAAGACTTCAAGGCGTAGCGGCAAAGTTCTTCCATTCAATTGGAGACTTTAAGACGACGAGGGCGTCGTTGGAACAGCATCTCTGGCTCAACTCGACGATGCCGATAAGACCGAATACCAGGTTACTCATTGTTACGAGGCTAGCGGAGATTCACTGCGAGTTGCACGAGTATGAGAAAGCGCTGGAGACAATCCAAGTCGAGCTTGATGGTATGACTGCACGCAAAGGCCGCCCGTTCCGAAGGTTATCCATGGCCAGAGCAGAAGGCTACATCGGCCTCGGGCGCTTAGACGACGCATCCACTGTTCTTCAAGAACTCATCAACGTTGAACCGCCTGAACTCGATGACCTAAACGACCAAGTCCTCCGCGTCCGCCGTCTAATCCTCTCAGCGCGCATCCACCACGCAGGCAACAATTTTCCCGAAGCGCTACAGCACTGGCAGCTGACAGGCCAAATGATAGACAGTCTAGGAATATTCAAGACACGACATGGCTGGACACTCGCCATTGTTCATTTATCCATGGCTCATGCTCACATTGCGCTTGGGAATGAGGAACTTGCGCGACAGGCGTGGAATGCGGGGGTGGAGATTGCGATGAGGGAGAGGTTTGAGTATGTGTTTCCTGTGCTGGCGACGACGTGGCTGCATAAGATTGTGGGAGAGATTCATGAGATCAAGGGATGGCCGTTGAGGGTTATGTTACCTGGGGGAAAGTCGGATTTGACTTGGCTGTAAGAAGATATGTGAAGATGTTATGATTCGTGTACATAATTCGACTTATATTCTTCATGATATATGGAATGAGCAAAAAGATGTTATTTAGCAAAAAGAGAGGATTTCGAACACGCGAACTGCAAAAACGAAGGGTGAGTGGCGCAGGGAAGATTTTAGGTATTTAGGTGCGGAGTTTAGAGAGTTATAGGATCTAGGAGAGATACCACTGCACCACTCACCCTTCGCTGGGAATATGTAGAGTGATTTCGGTACATAAGGGTAGCATGCTGACAGTACAGGTAACTTTTGCCTTTGCATCTTGACCAATTATTCCCTCAATCCAACTGTATGGGGTAGCTACTGAGGGTACTGCTGCCTGGACGGAAGTTAGTTCTTACTTGCCTGTAGCGCCATGCTCATGTTTCACCGTGAGGAGAGGGTCCTCTATATTGTCTCGTAGCTTGACCAGGCGAGTATCATAGCCTCCCAGAACAGCAGTGCTGTGTTCTCCCTGGCCCTGAGCTGTTCCATATCACGCTGCAGGGATGTAAAACCAACGCGAAAAGTCATAATTTGCTGTCATAGCTGGTTGACGTCTGTTCTGAGGTCCTGATATTGTTTTGAATAAATATCTAGCATGTCCTGGAAGAAAAAAAGACGAGATCTCGAACATACGACCTCCAAAAACGAAGGATGAGCGGCACAGGGAGAATTTTAGGATTTTAGGTACGGATCTTAGAGAGTGAGGTATAGGTTCTAGGAGCGGAACCACTGCGCCACTCACCCATCGCTGGGAATATTAACAGAGATCTTAGAATATAAGGGTAGCGAGGACAGAGGTGAGGGACAACTTCTGGCTTTGCGTTGCTGTAGCAATGAGTTGCAATCACCGCAGAGAAGTTGGTACCCAATCGTGAGGGGTTCTGCCTAAAGGTTAAATCTATCAGCATCAAGACTGACCTGAACTTTATATAAACTTGCAATATTTCATAGGGTCTCCAGATGTTTGACTTTAAATGCTGGGGCTTAAACGTGGTGTACATGGACTGTGAGATGGATGTCAAAAATGCTCGGTTACGCGGTGTGCCAATGATGTTGATTCAGCTGGTCACTACAGTCGCCCATGAGAGCTACAGAGCTGCGCTGTAAGGACTCAGCTATAGAGGGATTTTCTGTAATTTATCGCAGGACCAATCCATTTGCCGCTGGAGGCGAGATGCTCGTGTGCTGTAGGCACATTACATTGTAAGATATGAATGTTAATTCGCTTGATTTATCAGGGTATTATCCTAGCAGCGCAGATATAAAGTTCAGAATCTATCTAGAACAATCCTCTGGCTTTTGCAACGAGAATAAGCGATTCAAGCTCACTGGCCATTGCCTCTGTCATATCCCCATGATGTCCGCCGAAACGTGAGCCATCACCCTCTTCATTCTCATCTTCATCTGAAACAGAAAAAAATCCCGTAAATACGCAGAGCTTGTGTCACCTATTTACTGCTATTCAATTTGTGAAACATCGTCTTACATCATATCTCCATCAAATAAAGTGTCAGGCTTGAAGAAGTACCGAACTCGCTTATCTAAAAGCGCGAGCTCCGCCTTGATCTCAAGGGCCTGCTTGAGGCCATCCTCAAGGGCTGTCACAGCTAATTGTTCATATCCGAGAGGCCAATCTTTCCAGCAGCAGCCCCATATTCTTGTCAATAACACTCACCCGAAATTGAGACAAGCCTTCGATACTCTGTAAAAAACGGCGAATCAATCGACAGCATGTCTGGGAAGTCCATTTCGAAGATGAGATCAAAGATCCCAGCTATTAATATCACAGCCAACAAGTTTGAGCCTAGATACATCAGCATCGTGAGCATGTGCAAGCAGTGCGCCCATATCACCGCCAGATATTCGCCTCGCCACACTACGTAACAATGGTAAGAAGCTAGGTCGCTGTGAGAAATGCTGGGTATCTAGTCTAAAGTAGATCACGGAATGTTGAGATAAACCACGTTCTCTCTCTTGATTTCAGCGCCTAACGTCTAAAGACTAGTAGTGCCTAAATTGCAGAGTTCGTTGAATTGGTGACATTTTCCGTGCTAATGCCACTCATGATTCAGCTTTTCTCGAATCTGGACCCTCGACGTGACCTGCTTCTTCGACTTGAGGAGATAGACGAATGGGAGATAAGCATACAAGGGTCAACTCAGCACGTGATGTAATCCAGCCCGAGGAAATTTTCGGCGCCAAGGTCTTGTGTCACCCTGTGCCTCAACACCTCAACATGTCTTCCTCCAGTGACGATGGAGTAGATCCAGTTGATTTGGCCAGCAACATCGGCACTTGGGTCGCCGCTGGCGTAGCCATCATTGCGCTAGTCGGTGTAGTCGGTCCATATCTTGCTCTGCAAGCGTCGATGAGTGATAAGAATCGAGCCATGAATGCAGTGCAAGATCAACAGCAGAAATATATTTCCAGAGGATGGCGATTGACTAGAGGATTACGCGTGTTCAGAAAGATTCAGGTGCCGAACCTTGCACCGGGTTACATCACCAATGAGCCGGACACAGCCCCGCTTATACCGCCTCTCAGTGCAGCTTTGGGGCGTTGGGGGTTCAAGACGAGGGATTATTTGCCGTGGAATACGGGCTGGGCTAAGATGTCTGAGCTGATTGAGTCATATGAAGTGCGAGATGGGGTCAGCAATCGACAAGTTGACTTGGACGTCCCCAAGACCGGAGGAACACTGGAAGTTGTCAACAGTCGAACAGCTTTAGTGGTGAATAAGCATTGGATACTGATGCTGGGTCTTCTCGGTCGATATGGAGACCGTGTCGACAAAGGCATTCTACAAAGAAAAGGAATCAGGAGGAACTTTGATGGAGAACGCGCATCGATTCGACATTTCGCCTTACCGAGGAAAGCCAAACAAAGGGAATCAGATCTACCATTCGAATGGGTCCGCAAGAAACAAACTTACTCAATGAGTAGAAGGAGAGGCTCGTCCAGTCGTGAATCAGCAAGTTCAAGATCCTGGTCAGACAGTGATCCAGACTCTGACGGAACCGTGATGGCTGTCCGCCGCAGCGCCTATGGGACTATCACCCTTGAAACGACTCCACAGCCTACGATATACGGCATAACGGGAAAACTACAGCAACTTGGTCGCCATAAAGGATCATGGAGCTACTTAACTTCTGTATCGTTTGTGCCGCATATCGCGAAAGAGATCTTTGAAGCAGGTGTCAATGAGAGGAGGGAAGGTTCCTCGCTGCAGACTTTGTTCTGGCTCGCTCATGGTTTCTTGCCGTGTGGCAGAACAGCAGAGGGACGACAGATGGTAATCTCTCTAGAGGCACCGGATCTTTCTGTTGCATCGATCGGTAGGAATGTTGATGATATACTAGCATGGCCTGCATACTCTATCCAAGAGTCTGACGATATTCCCATCTCGATTGGTATTGCAATGCAGTGTCTTGGTATTCCCGAGCCACAGATATTACAGTTTCTCCCTCTTGATGCAGCGAGCCAAGCAAAAAGGGTGCTGGAAAAGACTAGCCGTCACTCATATGACGGGACTCAGAGTCCAGTATATGGATCAGATGAAGGAGACCGCCGATGGGAACGCGAGACACCAGCACAGCCAGCCGGTCTCAGCATCGATGGCCCCTGGGTTCGTTACTCAGATTCATCAGAGGAAAACTTCTGCCTATTCCCAAGACGCGATTTCGAAAAGATCCTGAGACTTGTACTCACCATCGACTGGGATAACTGGGGATTCTTGACATGGAAAGATAGGTTCTGGATCTCAATTCTACGGCGGACCACTAGCATTCTAAAGATCAACGAGATATGCGATTCTGAATTTGGGCAAGCCTTCGGATTAGCATCTCACTCTCGAGTCTTTGACTGGAAACAAAGTGGCCAGTTCTACCCACAAAGATTGGCAGATCAGCTATCGTTCGACAAGTTTCTGACCAACTATCTCGATACATATGACCTTCTGCCTCTTCGTGTCTCTCTGGGAGTTCTTTACATTTTGGATCAACAGCTTCGAGAGAACACCCTGAAGGTATATGCTAATTTATGCAACAACGGGGAAAACAACGATCCCCGTTCTGAAGCAAGGGTAGAGTACCTTGAAACAGCTCTGGAGGAGGTTGAGGCGGAGCACCGGATCCAGAAGATCCTGCACAAGAACGATGAAACACCAGTCACGAATAAGGGGATAGCGGGTATTTCAGATTCTGAGTCTATTGAAGAGATCTACACACACATGTCGATAAGAGCCGTGGATACTGAAACACTTGACCGCTTCAACATCGTCTACGAACCAGTGAGTACGACGGCAATTACGAAGAATTCCACTGACAATAAAAGGCTGATGATTTATTGTACCGCATTACCGGATACATTGCCCCGTGGGAGCAAGAGATCCTCTTCAAACATACCTCGATACGTCGAGAGCTCAACCAAATGAAAGCTTGTACGGCTAGTGGTGTGTTAGAGTACACGTATAAGACAAGACAGCTGAGATGGTACTCTGATAAGACTTCTATGTTAGAGTATAGTACTTGGCAGTTGACTCCTCAAGATGTGGTTGTCACTGGAGAGAAACAGTCTATGTGGATTGAGGAGAAGGATATGGTCATGGTGGCATTGTGGGTTGCTAATAGAGCTGCGATGTGGATCGGTGCTCAGGACTCAAAGCCATTGCTGGAGTTTGTAGAAGATTTGGATACATATGCATATGTACTATAACCTATAGAGAATATACCACATGTCTAAAGTGGGTGTAAACCTGACAGATGTTGGTTACATCACGCGTTTCACATGTCCTGTGGAATACACCCAGACGAGTTCGTATCTCTCAAAGTATTACGTTCGTTATCGCTCTAAAGCTGAAATGAGAAGCGATCCAGAAAAGCCCATATGCTCACAGAAGGACTAATGCAGATATGTTTTCTTATTATCCACAATAGGTACAGATTCAATATACAAATAGTAAGAATTACGAGTTTGTCAATTTCGGAATTCCCGGCGGGATCTGGCTTTTCTATCAAGCGACTGGCGCCAGGCGGTGACCCGCGCGTCCTGATACTACAGGGCAAGGGTCGAGGTCGGCCACGATCAGCCCTTTTTAGCGTCTGTTCTGTGCCGTTTATTCCATCCGCGTCCGGCTTTTCCGCCAAGTTACTCGGACAGGAAATGCGGGGGTTAGCGGGCTCTTGTCTATTAGGGTAGGTGATGAGTTGCCGTAAATGCCGGGCATAGATCCCGGCCGCCCCTCAATTTCCGGCTATCCTGCTGGTGAAATAGTCATGGTTGGTGGATATAGTCACATTGACGGCAATGCATCATTAATAGCCCCAATCCCAGAACGTCCCTGCTACTAATAAGGTTCATCCTCTAGCTCTACTCTGTGTCAGGTCCTCTATTGAGGATCTGCCATTTGACTTTGGGGGTGTACCTATGGAATCCAATGTCTATAGAAAGAGTAGGTAACGCGGCTATGCGCGGAATATCCGAGATGCGGGGTTGGAAACTGTATGTACTAGGCACGTATAGGTCAAGGGCGGACGTCTTTGTCTCGCAAAATACAAACAACTTGAGCTATAAATGGCAAGCTATGGTGAAACTCAGGACGACATAATGGACTGAACTTCACGCTTATCAATCGAGACTTGGTATCCTCCTCCAAGATGAAGACTGGATTCATTACTTGCATCCTTGCGGCGGCGACTGCTCACGCAGCTAGCCACAAAGTACCTTATACGTCAAAGCCGCTTAGCGTTGGACATGCTGTAAACAACCTCGAGAAGACCCTGGAATTCTTTCACGGCGTCGTGGGCCTCGAGATCTTACATCAAGACAAGACGCCCTTCCATAATGAGGCATACGGGGAGGCTTACAGCCACACGCGGGGCGACGTACAAGACGGCTGGAGTCGCTATCCCTAACCAGGACTGGACGTTGAACCTGACCGAGTACACGGGCATCTCCAAGAAGCAGATCAAGCAGCGCGAGAAGGACCCGGCCGCTCCGGCGCTCACCCTCACGGTGAAGAACGCAACCGCGATCAACAACGCCCTGCGCAGAGCCAACGTGTCCACCATCGACGGCTCGCCTATCCCAAAGGGTGGCGCCGAGGGAACCACTTCCACGGTCTGGGTGTACGATCCAGACGGGTACATGGTCGAGCTCGTCCAGCGCAGCGGCCCCTCCGATTACTTTACCGTTTCCGAGCCTAACATCACCAACGGCCCCGGTATGGAATACGTTATTCGGGGGCAGCTCGATCTCACCATGTACAACGTCACGGGGGCCATCACATTCTACAAAGATATCCTCGGGCAGAATATCAGCCGAGGCTTCGAACCCCTTATTGGCCCCGGGTACGAGAAGGTCGGCTTCCTCGGAAGTTTCTTGAGTACTATGAATATGATGATCCGAGCAGAGTGTCTATTATCTATCCGGCACAGGACCCTGGTGTTGCCATAACTACTTATCTCGTCGAAAACTTGGATGCCATTGTGAAAAAGGTCAAGGCTGCCAAGATCAAGATCATTACTGAGGGAGACAAGCCTGTGTGGATCGATGGCAAGAAAAGTATTGTTGTGCGAGACCCGGCTGGGTATCTTGTACGACTGGACCAAGCTTGTTAGTGGGCAATATGCATACGGATGCAAGGATAATACAGCCCGTTGCACTTTGATCTCGAGTTGCTCGGGCGTATATAGTCAGATATCTAGTACTAGACTTAAGCCTCAGCAATTGCATCCCCCTCTTCAACAAAAACCAATTTTGGAACGCTATGCTTGAACACATTCTTGGGATCATACTTCCTCTTCAAAGCCGCCAGCGTCTCATAATGCTTCCCATAGACCTTCTTAACATCAGCATCCTCATGAGAACCAAGCGATATATACGACCCCTCCAGGATATTATCAGCATCTTTTGCCTGAAGTTCAGCCTTGACCCTAGCAGCCCACTGAACTCGTTCTTCCGCGGTAGCCTTATCTGCGAGTATGGCGTAGATCTCAAACATATGATGACGAGCTCTTGTACCAAAGACAGACTTTCGTTCAGGCTCTTGTGCTGAGAGAAGAGTATGGTATGAGAAGATCAGACTTCCGCCCGGTGCATTGACACAATGCTTCCCCAGGATCTCAATTGCCTTTTCAGTCAGAGTCTTGCAATTTAGAGTATAGACTCGACCGTAGGAAGGCCAGGTTACCAACTTCTCATTATTCTCAAGCATTTCCGCGATTGTGATCTCCTGCGTATTCTCCATCACACAAGTCGCTGCTCCAGCTATGTTTTTGATCCACGAGCGGCCTTCGTCTTTGTCATCGCCGTGCCAAGTCGCGATTATCATGAGACTAACAGGCTGGCCTGGCATTTGTGCGATCATTGGCTGGAGCTGGAGATACACGGGCAGTTGCCCTGATTCGAGAAGGTTTTCGTAGTGTTGGGTATAGGAAGTGAGAGCCGCGGATAAGTCGCTTGAGTCGTAGAGGATCATGGAAGATAGAATCTAAACATGTGAGTTGTGGCCTTTAGAGATGGGGATGAAACGTACCTTGTTAATAGGGTAGATCTTGATGGTCAGTTCAACGATTACACCTAGTGACCCGCCGCCGCCTCGAATGCCGACTAGCAGTTCTTCATTGGCATCCTCGACTTTTCCACGAGCATTGACTATCTTTGCTCCGATGATCTGGTCGACGCCTAGGCCGTAATGCGATGTCAACAGTCCGTAGCCGCCGAGCGTGGCCCATCCAGCATATCCTACACTCGCGACAGTACCACTAAAGCCTTGGATCAGTCTCGAGGAACTTGTCATTCTTGATCTAACTACTCACGTAGGCGTACTCAGACCCTCTTCCACCAACGCCCTAGCCAACTCACTACTGAGAATGCCACCACCGACCCTTGCACTCTTCTTGTCCTCAGCTATGACGACGTGCTTGATATCTCGCATATCAATAACAAGCGCTCTATCGACCAATGTTCGACTGGCACAATCGTGGCCTCCCCCTCGCACGCTGAACTCGACGCTGTGCTCGAGACAGAATTGCACGACCAGGGCAACTTCATCGCCGGTTTGAGGTCTGACTACACCAAGAGTCTGAACCGGTTTCTCAACAAAGCATTGTTCGATTTGCTTGTAGTCTTCTGCGTCAGGTGCGTAAGTCTTGACTTGAGTGTCGGCAAGGTGAGCCTTGAGCTTCGAAAACACAGATGTTACAGTCATGATGAGTGTAGACTCTGTTGAACGAACATGTCAAGGCCAGGACGTTGCTCCGGTCGTATTTATATCTTCGGTGGCTTCCAAACCACAGCCCCGCTGAGCACGCCGACCTCTCAAGTTCCCCCAATACATTAAAGCCATGGCGTATGCATGTTTCTCACGACGGATGAATAAGCCAATCACCGCGGAAGCAGACGCTACGCTGACATCTCAAGACAGCATCTTATTCGTCTGACAACGAACTAATGCAAGCCTGGCTTACTTGCTTCCGCAATCCTTCTGTTAGTAAGACGGAATGAGACTCAGTGATCGACCCCTCTTTTCTCTGTCATCCACGATGGAGTATGGATGGAATTTGTGTACGGTAGGTAGAGACAAGCTTGGTCACGGTGGCTTAGTTGCCAACAAGGGACTTATGGAGCGCTGCAGGTGGAGAATTAGCGTCCGTAAGCCCTTGCACTTCACTAGCGAGCGTATAGCGCATCCAGCGTATTACCCGTTGCGTCATTGACGATCAACAAGTGCAGATCCCGCTCTAGGCCTTCAGGTGTCGAACCAAGCACCAAAAATCACCTAGTCTTCTACAAGGGTTCTCCATCAAGCCACTAGAGACAAAAAGCCAAAGGTCCGTCACTATTTAGTTGGAAATGCTCTTTGACCTCTTCTATGGTGACTGTAGGATCTAATCCGCTATCTAAGCGCCTTATCTCGGCATGGGCCTGCCGCAGGCGGGGGCTTACGCTGCTGATCTGTAAGGTGTAGCAAATTATTCATAAGGCACTGTGCCACTGCTGCAAGCCCGTCAGCAACACTTAAAGTATCGTTCATTTCACAACAATGACATTGAAGGTTGGAATCATCGGCGCCGGCATCGGGGGGCTCAGTGCTGTCATCGCCCTTCGACGGACTGGCGCTCAAGTTGAGGTTACTATTCAACCATGCAGCTACTGAGCTCGACTGACGTTGCGCAGGTTTTTGAGAGGTCCAACTTCAAGGATGAGATAGGCGCTGCCATCACCATCACCCCAAATGGAATGCGTGTCCTTCAGCACTTCGGCTTCGATCCCAAGACAGCGCGCGGTGTGCAGAATAAGCAGATGCGTATGGTACATCCGCAGACTCTTGAGGATCTGGTCGTCGAGAACTTCAGTCAGGTTGAAGATGACTACGGGGCACCATTCATGTTCTTCCATCGTGTGGATCTTCATACTGCGCTGAAAGAAATGGCCGTGTCGAGTGATGATCGATATCTAGGTCCGCCGGTGGTGATTCATAATGGACATTCTGTCACAAGTCTTGACTGCGAGAAGGCCACGATTGTGCTGGACAATGGGGAGACTTTTGTGAAAGATCTCGTTGTTGTCGCGGACGGCATTCGAGTAAGTTCAGCATCTATCGCGCTGCAATCCCAGCTAGCTAATCTCTTTCAGACCAAACTAATCGACCAAATCACCCAAAAGGACGTCCCTCTGGAAGATATCGGCTCCTCATTCTACCGCTGTCTAATCCCCTTCTCCGAAGTAAAGAAAAACTCCGACCTCGAAGCCATCTTCAAAGACCAAGACCCAGGTTTCTGGGTCCCCTTTGACCTATCTACAGGAACATTCCTCGTCACGTATCCCTGCCGCGATGGAAAGATGCTCAACGTTGCTTTTCGTCATAAGACCAAAGCGGAGAACGAGCACGCAGTCGATTGGAACACTGACACAAACGTTCAAGACATCACTGCTATGGTTGGGGGTTTTAATCCACTGGTGGCCAAGTTGTTCAGTTTGTCGACGAGCGTTTCTGTTCATAAGCTGTTTCGAAGGGAACCTCTTGAGAGGTACACTCGGGGGAGAGCGGTGATAATTGGCGATGCTGCACACCCGATCCAGCCAACTCACGGTATGTTCGCAAGTCCTTTGAGGGTCGTGATAATAACAGGGAGCATAGCCCAAGGCGCAGTTCTTGCGATCGAGGAAGCAGCAGCACTAGAAGCCTTATTCAAGGACGTACAGAGACCAGAGAGGGTTGCAGAGCGTCTGGGGTTGTACAATGACATTTTGAAGCTTCGCATTCATGTTACTCAACTGCTGTCTGATGCACAACCTGGGATATCCAGTGTGCTGAGGCAACGAGCCGAAGATATCTGGGGAGAAGCGATCTTCCCTCCTGAAGCGATGAACTTTACGAAGCCGATTCGGGACTTCTTTTATGCTTGGGATGTCATGGAAGAGGCGGAGAAGATTTTGTCTCGTGCAACATAGTCGATGATTCTTACTGAGTTCTGTGTGCTGATATAAGCTCTTAGGTATAAGGACAATTCTAACAATTCAATAACTAGGCAGGCTATTTATCTGTCCTAATGTCAATCGATGCTGTTTAATGAAGTCAAGGCACGGGTACACAAAAGTGAAATGCGATTGCGAAGGGTCACTATTTTGGAAATAGAGACATAGTTTAGCAATATCATTCATCATCCTGTCTTTACCTCCCTTCTAGTTTGTTAATTTATATCTTAAAATAGTTCTCAATTTGTCCGATTAATGTGAGAATCCACGGATGTGAGCCCTCCAGAAACGGATGCCCGAGTGTCGCATTTATGATAGTCCGCCTGGGCAACAGTCACTAACGCATTGCTGCCCAACCTCGAGTGACAATGAAGTCGCGACGTTACAAAGTAACAACGGCAAGTTGACAAATCTAATCAATCTCTCTATTTGTATCAGCCGATGTCTCACTGATTCGTCTCTCATTCGCGTCTATCCATGCCAAAATGTTTACTACAAGTGTGTCTTGGGATAAAGTCTCAATTGAAAACCCGTGCGCGCACCTGGTGCTCCATTCGTGGTATCAAATCACCTTTCCAGAACTACGCTCCTCGGCAAGTTCATGCCGCGTATGCTGCCTTTATAGAGATATTGCTCTGGATCTTGTGAGAGGTCACCTACATGGCATCTCAGAGGCATTTTTCAACGACGAAACTGAAGAGAAGTTGAAACTTGAGGAATTGGTCATGAGAAAATGGGGTGAATGCCTCAACATCGAAGTATCGGATCAGAAAGCCACTATTGATATATTCATGGAAACCAACGTTAATAGATTTGAAGTTACAGGAGAGCGTTGGGGCCTACGTTACCGTGTTGGGCGATATACGAACTCGAGGGAAACTTAAACGCGCAAGGCAATGGTTATCCGAGTGCGTCACTGAGCACACCTGTCCTAGGCCCATTACTGCAGCGGTGCCGCTACCACAAAGGCTGGTTCAAGTTGAGGGCGGTCCCGAAGATCCTGTCAGGTTGATAGAGACCCGAGGAGATGAGTACCCTTACGTCTGCCTGAGCCATCGCTGGGGGGATCCTACGCACAAACAGCTCAAGACCACTACGCGGACAGTCGAAAGCCACTTGAACAAGATCGAGTGGGTAGATCTACCCGCCACATTTCGGGATGCTGTAACGGTTTGCCGGTCAATGGATGTCAAATATCTTTGGATCGATAGCTTGTGTATTCTACAGAGCTTTGCGGAGATAACATCCGATGAACTCGAAGTCACTAGGCAGGACTTTGCTAAAGAGAACTCTACAATGGCGAGGACGTATCAAAACTCCCACTTTACCATCTCCGCCGACCTTTCGGACCACATGGACAGCGGCTTCTTTTCCAGAGACCCCGTGGATGAGTACAACAAGGACATCATCACCGATGACGGGAGTGTAGCATCTGTATACATCAGGAAACCCCTTAAACACTACTCAGAGGAGATCCCATGTCTAGAGACACGTGGCTGGACTCTCCAGGAATCCCTTCTTCCGCCTCGTGTGCTCCACTTTGGCGAGTTCGATATAGCCTGGAGATGCAAGACGCGAATTAATTGCGAATGCGGGCATCTAGACCGATCTGAGGCGCTTAAGAACTCCTGGCATCGGTTTCATGATATGGAAGAACTTGCTAGACCTCCTCCGAATGACTCAGAAGGCTCTCGCGAGTGGTGGGAGCGGTTAGTTGACGTGTATTCAAGACGGCATCTGACCAATCCCGCCGACAAGCTTCCGGCATTATCAGGTCTAGCTCAGGAGCGAAAAAAAGTCAGGGGCGGTGTTTATCTCGCAGGTCTATGGCTGGACTCACTTATGTATGACCTCTGCTGGTACCGTGTCAAAAACGACGAGGTGACTCCGGGGGATCTAGGCCACAGACCTCCGTGTTACCGTGCGCCTTCATGGTCTTGGGCCGCTGTCGATAACCACTCAGGCTGTAGCTGGTATATGCTCGGGATGGTCTTCCCCTATTCGATGCCAAAACAAGCATGCGTTATCCTGGATGTAAGCTGTGAGCCTGCAACGACTGATCCTACGGGCGAGGTCCGAAGTGGATTTCTGGATGTAAAGACATCGTTGGCAACAGCCGAGATCTACCAGTATCCTGGAGAACAAGTCTTTTGGGGGATCCGCAAACTTGACCGCCCGCTCAGGCTGAATGCATTCATGCCTGATTGCGTACTTGAGGACGACGATCTGAACTTGGGAGACCAAGTCTTTTGTGCTCCAATCGTTGGTGTCAAAAGCCCTTCTGACGTGACTTACGATTGTCTGGTCTTGAAACAGATTGACGGCCGCATCTATCAACGAGTTGCATTCTGCACTATCGTTATAAAACGAACAGACCTTCAATCTCATGATGAAGATAATACAGAATCAGACCCGAAAGCCTTCACGTGGCCGGGCAGTGTACAAGTGCAGATCAGGATTGTATAACAGACATGGAAATGAATGCTGTAATAGTTTAATGTCACGTTGATTATGCCACCAACTTTTTGAACCTCGCATTATGTCTAAGAATGCTCCTATACCACTGCATCTACCAGATATCCTCCTTCGAAATATCAGCAATGATGTCAACCTCGGATGTGAAATACTTACCTGGTATCTTGCAGTATCCCTTAGACTCTTCACCTTTTCCGTTGCAATTTCAATGGAGATATTCCGCTGTTCGGCCCAGACTGAGACGAGTGCTGAGTTGACATCACGCGCCATGTGCTTTGCATCACCACAAACATACACAACCGCTCCGTCGTCAATCATGTTCATCACCTCCTTGGCATGGGTCTTGATAAGGTGCTGCACATAGACCTTTTGCTTGGTCTCTCTTGAAAGGGCAACATGGATATCGAAGTGGTCGCCGAGAGTCTTCTTGTGTTCCTGGCAAAGTTAGGAAGCTTGGCTAAACATCGAGAGATTGTTAACGTACCTGCCACTCCGACTCATATAAATAGTCTTCATCGCGTCGCCTACATCCAAAGAACAACAAACTCTTTCCAACACTCTTACCCTGTTTCTTCAACGCAGCTCGCTCCTGCACGAAACCTCTGAATGGAGCAACGCCAGTTCCCGGACCGATCATGATGACAGGTCGAGATGAATCCTTGGGGAGTTTGAAGTTGGACTTGCGAAGATGAATAGGTGCTTTGAAGCCGGTGTACTTCTCTCGAGGGCCATTTAGTTGATACTTTTGTGATTGAGATTCCTGATTTTGAGCCTCTTTGAGTGAGAGAAGGTAGTTTGTAGCAACGCCCTTGAAGACGTCAGGCCAGCCTTGAATCTCGGCTGACTCGACAGCGGCGGTGATGGAAACGAGGGAGGGTTGGACGAGAGATGACGAAGAGATGGAGTAGTATCTGGGCTGTAGTTTGCTGAGTCCTTCGACTATAGCTGAGAAGGGCAGCTTACTCCATGGTTGACCATCACTCAGCATACTCAAAACTTGAGCAAGTGAGAAACATTTCTGACTGATCTTTTCGTTGAAGTACACCTTGTCACTACCAAGCTTGGTCGATTCAGCCTTCGCACCTTCAGTAGGTGCAAAAGCAGCGATGACGTTGATGAACTCTCGAGACACAGGTCCAGCGATCTCAAGGTAATATCGCAGCGCAGCAGCATATGTCGTCGGTGTAGGAACAGGTGACTTTGCTGTTGCCTCCCGACTGACGATAGAAATAACCGTGTCTTTCTTCTCACTCAAACCAAGAATGTTGAGAAGTTGGGTGACTTGTTCTTCAGAGTTGGTCGGCCAGATAGCGACGTGATCGCCAGTCTCATAAGATAGACCAGAGTCACCGAGATCGATTTCCATGTGAATGCAATTCCGATCCTTGGAAGCGAATACCTCTCTGGACTCGGTGATGCTAGCGATGTAAGGATTCGTGTTGCTGAATTGACGGTTTGCTGAGCAGGTATCAAGATGATCTGCGTTTGCCTCACCGAGAAAAACACCAGGTGAGCTCGCATCCAGATCATCCCTTTCCAAAACACCAAACGTCGATTCATAAGCAACATCCTTCTCCTGAAGCCCAAACTCTTGAACAAGCTTCGGCCACATATCCTGCTTCCACGCCAGAAAGTCCTCTTCAGTAGTCCCAGCTGCATCATCGGCCTCCCCAACACTAGCAAGATTCTTCGCACCAAGACCATCCAGCGCTTTAGACACACGTCTCACCATAGCGTTGTAATGCTCGTAAGTGCTGTTCCCCAGACCAAAAGCGACATACTTGACGTTCTGAAGATCAACATCCGGCTGATCCCCGTCCTCGCCACCGGTGATGTAGGTATAAAAGTCCTGAGCGTTATCCGTGGGCTCGCCCTCGCCGTATGTAGCGAGGACGAACATCAAAACAACTTGCTCGGAGAGTTCAGAGAGGTCATTGTAGTCATACTCCTCAAGATCAGCGACCATGGGATCGAGACCATAGCGCGAACTAGCTTCTCTCGCTAGTTTTTGAGCGTAGTTCTCTGCGGTTCCGGTTTGGGAACCGTAAAAGATGATGCAGTTTTTGCCGGTGGTGTTGCAGATGTGAGAGATGCTTCGAAGACTGTCTTCTTTCGAAGCTGTTGTTTCTTCTGCTGTAGTAGATTTAGGGAAGAAGATCTTTCGTAGTTTGCCATTGGACAGATACACGACTGCTCCTAGAAGTAGGGATAGAAGAACGATCAAGTCTGTCGAGTCGATGATGGGAGATTCTGTTGTGAGAAGAGCTTCGTCCAGGATGGACTCGTTGGTCATGATGTCGATGTCAGCCATTGTTTCAACTACTCCAGGTCTTGATAATGTGATGATAATCTGCAGCTATTCAGAAATCTTTAAAGCCTATTATACAATTTTAAATTCATCGCGAAGTTTCTCGTAGCCCGAGTATCCGATGCGGAATCATTTTCCGACAACCGAACTTTCACTGTCTTGACGCACAAAGTCCAACAGCCAATCACAAGCATCATAGAGTCGTCGGAATTTTCGCAATATTTCCGACCAAATGTCGAACCAAGGTGTTTTAACAGCGAGATCAAGATTTCGGTCACAATGGGAAATACGGATATAGCGATCGCGGTGCTTCATTCGGTAGCTCGCAGTCATGCTACGATTGTATTATACTGCCACCTAAATACTGTACTAACATCTGTGTATGGGATATGATCTAAGCCACAGGTATCAACTGCATCTATGTCATCTAATGAAGTACAATGAGGATCAAGCTGCATTCTTCCAAGCGTCCTTGACCAAACTCCACGTCGCAAACACCGCCAGCGGCGAAACTAAAGCCTCTGGTATCAAACCATTTCTCAGACTCCAATGAGTAGCAACACTAGCCCAAGCCAAATTCTGGAGCATATCACTCTTCCACTTTGCCTTCCATGTCTTTGTAGCCAGTTTCTCTCTATCCTGCATGGTATCCATCCACTCCAGTGACAACCGCCCAACCTCAATCATTGTAAACGCCGCCCAGGACCGAATTGCGAGGAATGTTAACTTTTCTTCTGATTCGGCTGAGCTTTTGAGAATTCCCCTGGAGGATAAGAAGCCAATTGCTTCGGAGACGTGGAATGATGTGAGGCAGAGGATCTGTGAAGCTTGGATTCCTATGTCCATCTTGTTCACAGGTTTTTGTGCTGTTCGTTCGGCGGAGATGCGTTTGATGAGGTCTCGGGCTGCTTTCCACATGTCCAAGACGCCAAAGAGGCGATTCATGATCTGCCATTCATCGAGCATTGCACAGAGTGCTCTTGAACAGTTTGCGGCTCGTGTTGTTGACTCAGCCATTGTGTTGATATGAGATAGTTTGAAGAATAACTTGGAGAGGCCTTTCAACTTTTGACTCTGTAGCCTTTGGAGGTAGGATGCTAACAAGTCCATGATGAAAGTGACCAGGCGTACGGCCTCGCCAGCAAATAGAAGGACAACATCTCGACTTTCTCGCGACTCAATAGTCCTGTGTAGATGAGAAAGAAACTGTCCAAGTTGTACGTTTCTGAGTATTGACGATTTCGTGTGACAGTCCGGTGAAGAGATCATGATGAACTACCGAGCGACAACAAAGAACAAACAAGAACACAGATAGGGATGATCTGATATCTGATACAAGCCTCACAACAAGTCAACAAAGCATTACGCAGTCTTTCTGCAATGATACAGCGTTGACTAATGCTTCCGGCCGGAACGAACAAAAATGAAACTGATAAGAGTAGTGATGTTCAAGCGGTCGAGTCATGGAGAAGCATATGTGAAGGTGACACTCGGAATGCTCCAGTTCCGGGGTATCTGGTTCCGAAGAATGGAGATAACGAGGAGCACGCGTCAATTGATAGCGAAGCGAGCGCGCCTTTTTAGTTCTATGTCTTAGTGTCGGGTAAGTACTTGATCAGGAATTAGTGCGTTTACTTCCGAAATGGGTAGTTCCCGGTTATGCTGCAAGAAGGGAATGGTATTGTTGTTAGCTGCCTGCAGTAACCGTGCAATTTGATCTGACCCAATCAGGCAATTTCATCACCTTACTCCATCAGCCGTTGAACTTTACAGGGAGAGGGAACCGGACTTTATTTGGTCCGGGCCAATCATTTCTTTCTTTTTATCCGGACTGTAACTGGCTTGTGCCTCTTCGGTGGGCGCGCTAGGCTTACCGCGGAGGCCGGCCTCAACGAAGGGTCTCGAGTGTGCAAGAGGAAGTCATCTCGAACACCAGAGCAGGTCATTGCAATAATCTCATATGAACTTAGTCATTCAATGGTAGTTGTTTCAACATCTACAGCTTAAAGACATTGACCTTGACACACTTAACCTGCGTCCAATCATGCAGCGCATCCTCACCATTCTCCCGCCCAAACCCACTCTGCTTGATCCCGCCAAACGGCGTATTCGCATTAACGCTTCCCCACGAATTAACACAGACCAATCCACACTCAATCTTATCCGACACGCGGATCGCTTTGCTGATGTCATTTGTGAACACTGAAGCAGCTAGACCGTAGACATTGTCATTCGCAAGATCAATGACTTCTTGCTCGGTCTTGAACTTGGCGATACTAGCGACTGGGCCGAAGACTTCTTCGCGGATGATGCTGGCGGATGGTGAGACGTTGACGTATGCTGTGTTGGGCACGAAATGTCCCTTTGAGTCGTGTTTTTGAGAACCCCCGTGGAGGACTTGTGTTCCCTCTGAGTTGGCTTTTGCGATGAACCCCATGATCCTCTCCTTTTGCGTTGAGCTAATAACAGGTCCTTTCATCGTCTCCTGCAGCAAAGGATCACCCATAACAGCATCCTTAGTCCTCTTCGAAAACTCCTCTACGAACTTATCATAAATATCCTCCTGCACATAAATTCTACTCCCCGCCGCGCAAATCTGTCCATTATGAGTAGTAATCCCCGCAGTAGCCCACATAAGCGCATTCTCCCAGTCAGCATCAGAGAAGATAATACTAGGGCCTTTTCCGCCAAGCTCGAGAGTCACGCGCTTGAGGTTCGACTTTGCAGCGCTCGCGAGGATGGTGCGCCCGACGCCGACGCTGCCGGTGAAGGAGAGCTTGCGGACTTCGTGGTGGTCGGCGAGCGCTTGGCCTGCGACGGTGCCGAGACCGCAGAGGATATTGACCACGCCGGGGGGGAAGCCGGCTTCGACGATGAGCTGGCCGAGTTTTTGGCCGTAGAGGGGGGCTAGCTCGGGGGTTTTGATGATGAGGGTGTTGCCGGCTGCGAGGGCGGGAGCTAGCTTCCATGAGGTGATCATGCTGTGATTGTTAGTACAGAGAAATAGTATGGTGAGAATGTAGGACTTACAGAGGAGTATTCCATGGTACAACAGCTGCACAAACACCAATTGGCTCTCTCTTGGTATACGCAAGACCACTCTCATAGTCAATGCTCTGCCCATCGAGTTTATCCGCCCAGCCCGCAAAATATCTACACGTCTCAGCTGCCTGAGGAACACTCATCCCCATGGACATGTTATACAACATTCCCGCATCAACAGCCTCAATGGACGCAAAGTCCTGGACATCACGCTCAATAAGATCAGCGAGCTTATTCAACAGACGGCGTCGTTCCTGGGGAGGTGTAGTCTTCCACGTCGCTGATGCCTTGCGAGAAGACAGCACAGCGCGGTCGACGTCGGAGGTCTGGGCGGCGGAGACGGAGCCGATGGGGGAGGCTGTGGTGGGATTTTCGACTATGACTGTCTTGTTGGCTTCTGCGGGGGTGAAGGTGTTGTCGATAAAGAGGCCGGTGGGGACTGTAAGAGTGAGTAATTGTGTGATGGTAATTCATGGGTGTAACATACGTGTGATCTTGCGTCCACCTGCGCCTGTAATGGTGAGTTCCGCCATATTGAGTTTGGGTACTTCGGGTATAAAATAATAGCAATATCCACTTATCAAGATCTTATCAAACAGCTAATAATCGATAACACGCAGGCAAGAGAAGAGAAGGGCGCAGTGAAACCGCATGCATATTACTTATGTACATTACGACGACCATTCCACTCGGAATCCAGGACTCTATGTTCCGGTATAGCACTGACCATGTTACATGAGGGGTTATGCATAATCCAGGGTCTCACAAACACCTCTTCTTTTTACTAATTACTTCACTGCGGTCAGATCATCTCCATATCTTACGTATATCTTATCCACTGCTGCTTGAACCGTTTCAGTTGATGACAGGAATATACGACAATGTAGTATCAGTGCCGCTATCCAGCAGGAGCCGCAATGCGATGGAGAGGAATGGGTCTTCCGATTGGGCCGCGGTTATGGGCTCGGAACCGCAGTGGCGATTCCGATACTGCGGAGTTAGTGGACGAAATAAATCACGCAGATGGGGACAGGGCCAGGCAATATCTCCGTAATCTCCAGCGGCCCGTTTCCGTGATACAGAGGAAGCTTGGCGAGTCGGCAGTTGGGCGCCAAGAGAGAAAGGCCGAGATCCGTGACGATGTTTGCATGAGAGAAGGAATGTAACTATCCTGATCTGACATTTATTTGTCATGGTGAGAAGCTCTAACTACATTGGAGTAGTGGTGGACTTTACGTGGTCATTCGCCTCAGACCCGCAATCAACAGCTTTTGAGACTCTAGGGTAATAAGTCACAAAATATTATACAAATGTTTATTTCAACATGTTCACTACCGGAATCGTTTCACGATACAAGCAGGAACCGGCAGTTGTCTCAAAAAATCTCATTCATGCTAAAATAACGCAAACACTGATTTACAATCTCATGCCATGCCATGTCACTCCTGATACCATCAAATGATGCCGATCAAAGCTTAGGTCCCTCCTCCTTACAGCACCCACTCGTCAACCTCGACGCAACATCCTTATCAGACGGGACATCAAGCGCTGGATTACCCGTAAAGAAATCCGAAGGCGAAATATGCAACTGCAGCATCTCAACCGGCATGACCGGCCAATCCTCCACCCGCGGATTATGCGTAAGGCCAAACACACTCCAGCACACAACATCCTGATTCAGCACATCATCGCACCGATCAGCTGCGTCGCTCACACCGCCGACTTCACTCTTGCTAAGCATCGTGTACCGTCCGCCAGCAAAAAACTCGTGGTCCTTGTACTTGGTCACCCAGAAGTGCTTCTTCGCGAATAACGCGCGCTTGGCTTGTGTGCTGTTGGGGTCCGCGAGGAGGAGTTGTGTTGCGGGGGGTGTGATCTTGTAGCCGACTGGCTTTCCCGATACGCGGTTTAATTTGTTCAGGTTTTGCACTTTGAAGACCCTGTTGCTGAAAGGCGCGGCGTCGATGCCCTGGGAGGTGGTGATTTGTGTCTGGCGCACTTCATACATGTTTCCGTTAGGATTCGTCCTCTTGTCCATTCTCAACGGAAGACTCTCCTCTTGCACAACGGTGTTTTCATTACCGTCGATAGAGGGATCGATACGCACGCAGAAAACATGCTGATGGTTTTGAGCGAGGGCGCCGGGGCTGACGATGTTTCCCCAGGGTGCTGTCTTGCCGGGATCCATGTTTACAACGGACACGATGCCTGTTGCGCGGGCTTCCACGACGATGCCGGCTGCTTGGTCGAACTTGTAGTTGAAGACGTACTCATAGTTGGCGAGGGTGATGATGAACTGGATGACCAACTCGCGGCGGCGTGTTACTACGGCGCGGCCAGTTCGCCAGTCGGTGTGTTTCCAGCCGATGCCGTTGTCTTGCTCGTGCAGGCAGATGACGTTCTTGGTTTCCTGCGCAGAGCCATCTGCGTCTGTGAGGACACCGTCGAAGTACTAGCGTCGTTAGTCATGAAACTCGTGAGTTCGGGTTGGAGCTTACCTTGATCACGCCGAGACAGTCGCAGCCGAGAGTGAGGTTGTTGACGCAATGCCCAAGACCGCCGTCGCCAAAGTCAAAGGCTTGCTTGCGGTGGTATGGTGGACGAGGATCCGCATAAGGAACAGTCTGCCACCGTTAGCACATCTCTTGCGAGAATTCGTGAGTAAACTTACCATATCGCTGATGCTCAATCTGTATAGAACAGGACGTCCATCATAGCGAATATCGTGGATGACTGCTCCCTCGCGAGGATTAAACGTAACCCTCATCCTCCACTTTTGCCACTGGATGAGATTCCCCTCTGTAATCGAGAAACTCGGTCCTTGAGGCTGCACAACCATCAAGGGCTTCAAATCCTTCCTCGTCCCACTCTCCAAAAGCTCAGGGACATACTCTGCGCTCTGGCAGTGATCAATAGCCCCAGTGGCATACGTCTTGCCAGTGAGACTATCGCCCTTGCCGCCTGTGGCAGGCTCGTCAATGCGGATGATCTCATTGGTAGCAGCATCCATGACAGGGATCAAGGGCATGGGATAAGCGTAAAAGTTGGAATCTTGACCCTTGCGAGCATCGCGCGCAAAGACGAGAGCTTGGAAGTAGCGCGTGTTGCCATCTTCTAAATCTGGTGCACCATATGGCCAGGGCTCAATGACTGTCTCGAAACCCTCTGGGAGCTTGATCTCCTTGAGTTTATCCTGGAACATCTTTGATCTCTTGCAAGCCTCGACCACGATGTCAAACTCAGCCCTACTAAATCAGCATCGCACTTAGTCATAAATAATAGGTTGACTTACATGGTCAAACTGGCCTGGTGCTCCTCGCTGATGAGCTCCTGCGCAACAATACTCCGCTTCGTAACATCAACCACAGACTCATAGTAAAGCGACTTCTGGTCTCCGCCAATGACATCGTAGAAAACCTGCGCGCAGCGATCAGGTCTCGGCGACGAAGCAGTCAGAGAACCAGAGTGCTCAAGCTCAAGAAATCTGAGGACTTCTTCCTTGGGGGGCTCAAACAGGTACGATTGTCTAAAGAACAGCAGCGCACCGGGGTGAGACGCCTTGACGATGTCGCGAGCAAGGTTGGTCTCACGCGCCGTGAGGGCAGACAAAGGATGTGGTGCAGCCATGGTTGGACAAAAAAGACTCAGGACAATGGAATTGTGGTTTGTTGGTTCGATCAATCAGCAGATGCGATGTTTTGCAGCTGTCAAATAGTACACCCCGGAAGGTCTCGTTCCGAGCGTTACACTCGGAACGCCCCTCGGAACGCGGAAGCACAATCTCTCTTATCTCACCCACTATCAACACCCTTGTCAAGTGATAACACAGCCCGTAAAGCATTTGCTACGACGTACTAGGTTAGATCTCCCCGCGTTCTTGATACGGCCCCTGTTTAGCGTGTGTTTTGATCAGAGATGTGATATGCCAGCAGGGGGGTCCTCCGGTATCTCTTTTCCCTTATCAAGATGATTTATATGAACGACATTTCCGTGAATTCCATAGCTCCACTACCCAAAAGAAACAGCCAAAATTTTACTATATAATTATTTATTGTTCTTTGTCTGAAAATGGGCGAGCCTGAGAAAGTTAACGTGGCTGTTGACAAGGACGCCATGAGTCTTGAGGGTAATACCGGAGTTTCGAGCGATGATGCCCTGCGTCTTGCGCAGTTGGGTCATACGCAGGAACTTCGAAGACAGTATTCTCTCTTTTCCCTCTGTGCTCTATGTGTTTGTCTCATGGCGACATGGGAGGCTCTATCTTCCGTCGTCGCTACAGCTCTCATCAGCGGCGGAGCACCCTGTCTCTTCTACAACTAGTCCGTCTCCCGTTGCCCGAACACAAGCACAGCTAACATATTCAGTCTACTATCAGCAGTATGTTCAATCTGCATCGCCAGTTCTCTCGGCGAGATCGCTTCGATCTATCCTACAGCTGGAGGTCAGTACATCCCCCCCTGGAAGTGACCCTTTTAGCCCGAGACTAACGCTTCGGAATGGTAATCAGGTCAATATCATTGGGTAGCAGCCCTTTCACCCACTTCCATTCGATCGACCGCGGCTTGGGTCACAGGCTGGATCAGCATTGGCGGACAGGTTGTTCTCACATCGTCTGCTGCCTTTGCTGCTGGGCTACAGATGCAGGCTCTTATAATTGTGAACAACGATACGTATGTTCCTGAGCGGTGGCGGGGCATGTTGTTCTACTGGCTTGTCCTTGTTTATGCGCTTGTTCTCAACATCTGGGGGGATAGACTTCTTCCGCACATCAATACGGTGTCGGGTAAGTACTTCCACTGGCGGGAGATCTTTCGGAACTGACGGCTCTAGGCGCCATTCATGTCATCGGCTTTGTCACAATCGTTGTTGTCCTCGGTGTCATGGCACCCAAGAACTCGGCTTCGTTTGTCTTTACAGAGGTCACCAACTCTAGTGGATGGGCCAGCGATGGTGTATCATGGCTAGTAGGCCTCTTGAGTGCCGTGTATCCCTTCCTCGGGTATGTCCTCCCATTGCACTCACTGTATCCCATCTAACCCATCACAGATACGACGCCGCCTGCCATTTAGCAGAAGAAATGCCCCACGCCAGCCGTAATGTCCCTCTCGCCATGGTAGGCAGTGTAACCATCAACGGTCTCATGGGTCTCGTCTACTGCATCATCTTCCTCTTCTCAACCGGTCCCCTCGAGAAACTTCTCGCAACACCCACTGGCTTTCCATTCATGCAGATCTTCCTTGACGTGACTAAGAGTCGGGCAGGCTGCACTGTTCTCTCTGTCATCATTACAAGCACTGCTGTTGCAGCGACTGTCGCTGGAACTACATCTACGTCAAGAACGTTGTGGGCTTTTGCCAGAGATAAGTCAACTCCTTTTGACAAACAACTCAGCAAAGTCGACAAGCGTCTTCAGATTCCTGTTTACGCTGTCGTGGTTGTTATTGTTCTTCAGATGTTGCTTGGTCTCATCTACCTCGGCAACACCACTGCCTTCAATGCCATTCTCTCCATGTCAATTATTGGCATGTATGTCAGCTATGCTCTACCCATCATCGCCATGCTCTTTGCCAGGAAGAGCCTTCAGACTTCCAATGGCTTTGGTCCTTTCAAGCTCGGACGTATCGCTGGCCCAGCTGCCAATGTGATCAGTTTGATATGGATCATTGTTGTTGTCATTTTCAGCACCTTTCCATCTGCTATGCCAGTTACACCGCAGAACATGAACTACTCCATCGTTGTCTTGTCTGGGTGGCTCTTTGCTGGCATTGCGTACTATGTCTTCCGTGGGAAGTACAAGTTTGAGGTTCCGGTCGTTGACCTTGACGTTGTCGAAGGTCTTCGTGATGGAGTCCATGACAAATAATTGAACAGTGATAGTTAAAAATTGGAGATATGGGTCTTTTCCTTGATAGCGCGTTATGATGGAAGGTCTAAATTGTCTTGACACTATTATCATGGGATAGGACGATACTTGGGAGCTCAATTTGTACGATACTATGAAATGAACACGCTCTTTAAGATACCAATGCTTCGATCATATTGTTACAGTCTGGTCTCCACCAAGTTCCATTCAATCGTGACTTCTAGAACCCGCCATTGAATCGACTCAAGTCATCACCCTGTCCAACACCCCCATTCTGATCCGGCAGTGCCGAAGCTTGATCAAGCCCGTTGACCTGACTCACCGGCCTCAACATATTATCCTGCTCAAACGCACTAAACAAATTCAACAGATCCGTCTCCAGCCCAAACATATCCGCCATATTCTCATCCATAAAATTACTCCCCAGCCCATTTCTCGGCCAACTCGTCGGAACAAGCGTCTGTTGCTGTCGAACCTCTGGCGTCTCCTGCTGCAGAATCTCCGCGAGTGCTGTGTTCCCAGTAGGTGTGATCGGCGACTCTAGCGATAAAGCCCGATGAATCGTCCCTTTTAGTGAGCGCCATAGTCTTCGGCCTAGTTGTCCGTGCTGTGAAATGTTTTTGAGGAGACGAACTGCATCTTGGAAACTTTGCCGGCAGCGATCGGCAAAGACATCTGGGCCGTGGCATACTGCTAGAAGAATTGTTGCCAAAGCACCCGTGAGAAAATAATTAAACGTTGCTTTCTGCCGAGCGTAGATGTCACTTGTCTCGTTCAGATTCACTAGAACTTGGATCGTATCTTGCGCGAGACTGACAACCAGTTGAGCCCCTTGCATGTCGGAGCGCAAGTTCTCAGCACTCATGACATGGTGCCGCAGAACCAAGTTTCGGATGTAATTTCCCCTTAGATAAAGTAGCGTTCTCAAGCGCTGTAAGACTCGGGGTTGATGACGCGGAGCTTGTGAGAGTCGAGGATATACGAGCTGTAAATCCTCAGGTATAGAGTGAACCCATTTCTGCGTCAGAAAGTCAAAGAAGTCGACCTTATCCTTAGGAACCGTGAATGGCGAGGAATCAAGCGGTAGATCCTCCCAGACCTTGGAGCACAACTTGGCATAGGAGACCATGCATCGAAGATACGGATGCTGCTCACTCTTCTAATCGTCATTACACACTTTTGCTTGGTACATGAGGGAAACTCACTGGCTCTGGACATTGGGGATCGATGTCCCGATCGGAAATGCCGAATGATAGACTAGTGCCATAACTCCACCTTCGGTCAAGAATGTATACACACCAGAAGCAACGAAGTGCCAAATCTCGTTCTAATGGATTTTTGAAGTTTTCAAACAGAGAAGTTCGGCGGTGAAGACCGATTTCGAGACATTCGCGACCGGCATTGCCGATGGCTCTCCAGGCCAGGAGGTCCTCTCCGCAGTGGAACCAGTAGATGCTCTAGATGCTGTCAACAATTGTAATGTGAGCCAAGGATTGACTAACCAGCATGATCATGAGTTGAAGTTCTTGAATGTCGATAAACGCCTCGCCTGAGATCCTGCAAATAACAGGCTCAACCTCGTCGATCAACTTCTTGCTGATATTATTCAGCCCCTGCGCCTCAATAGCAACAGACGTAGCAACCGCGAGCTTGATAGCCTGCACATCCTTAAGCGTATTCTCCATCGGCGTCTGAAACACCGAAACCGCCTTGTTTGACAACTCGTTAACGTCAATGAACGGATACACACTCTGAATCTCCTCATTATAAACATCCAGCAGCCTCTGAACCTCTGCAATTCCCAGACTCGCCAGAACCTCTACATCCTCAACCCCCGGCGAGAGATGCTCGCTCTCAGCAACAGGCTCAGTCTCACTCGGTGATTCAGCTGGCGTGCTTGTACCGGTAGCGTTTGGCTCGATACCCATGCCAGTGAGGGAGTTCTCTGCGATCTGGAAACTATACGCTGAGCGCGTGGGGCCCACGAATTGAGGCTCGCGCGGCCCGTTATGTACGTTGCGGATGTCTTTGCGGTAGGTGGATGACGGGTGGCCTTGGGGAGTGGACTTTGTGGAGGAGAGGGTTATATGGGGGAGACGCTGGGATACGTCTTGGAGGGCTGATGTAAGTGCATTGACTTGGTTTTGAAGGGCGATGACTTGTTGACTGAGCGATCCGACGTCTGTTCTGTCAAGTGTTAGGGATAGTTTGTGAGATGGGTGAGATACACACTGAGGTTCTTGAGTTGAGCGTCTTCGCGACGGCTCAGCATCTTCCTTCGCTGGTTGAACTGTAGGAGCAAAGATGCATTCGACTTTATTAACATCACATCTCTTACAAATCTCATCACCCTCTTCCCTCACACACTTGAGCTTTTTCTTCTTACACTCATTGCTAGCAGGGTCAGTACCTCATATCTCATCCCAAACCCGCAAGGACGGTCGCGTACCAAGCTACAGGCGCGTATTTGGCGCGTTTACTCCGCTGGTTAGAGGATGTAGCCGACTCTGCGATGGAGCCTATTCTCTTGCGACCAGGATCCATGAGTCATTCCGTATACGTCGCGTGTCGTTAATTGAGGCGCCTGAGATACGGGGTGTTGTAGTGTCGAGATCACTAAGGAAATGGGCGGGGCTGCCTGTAATTATTTCTTCTGGGGTTGCTTATCAATGATATTCCGCTAAACCAAAAGTGACGACAGGCCCAGACCATGCCGATCTACGCCTTATCAATACTTCGGCCTTCACTGGAGCATTGCTTATCGTGCAGAAATAGAGTTTAGACCTTTCTCCAAGTGGTTATTACTTCCACCACTGACTGTCTCTAGCACCAAAGACATCTTCTGATACCACTGATATGATTGAGTTGATAACTGCATTATATGCAACAACTATTGTGCCTCATAGTCCGCTGTATCTGAAAGCTTCTGTGCCGGGCATTGAACTCTTCTACTAAAATCTGCCGCTCAAAGGGTTTGCCATTTTTGCGCATAATCTTGAGCGCCGCTACGAAGTACCTGCACCTGCTTAACACTATGGCTTCCCCACTTGTAGGTCATTCGCGCCCTGCTACATAGTGGCGCCACGTTAATACATATAACATCGAAGTTTCATATTAACCTCACTGACTACCAACGTTACACCGCAACAACCAAAAATGAACTGTATAATAGTAAAATGCCTGCGATGCAAGCGTATGCCTCGCATCCAAGCCACTTAATACTACTCCTGTTCCTACCGCCCCTCAATCCCCGCAATGCCTACCCTCGACATATACCATATCCGCGATAATCCAGATCTCTACGCGCAGAACTGCCTCTCACGAAACTACCCTAACCTCGCCTCCAACCCATTCCGCATCATCAAGCTCATGTACTATCACCAGGCTTTGCAGGAAGCTGCGAAATCTCTTCGCGAACGCGCAAATGCTTTACAGATTGTGCTTCTACTGTTAGAAGAAGAGGGGAAGAACATAGAAGGAGCGCTTAACGAAGCAAGGGAAGTTAAGACAAGGCTTCTTGAATTTGAAGAGGTGGAGGGGGATATCATGAGCAAGATAGAGGGTTTGGCGCTGGCGTTGCCGAATATCACAAGCAAGGAGACGCCGAGAGGGGCTGAGTTTGAGCCTATCTGTCATGTCAACGCCGATGAAAAGACTATTCAGATCAAGGATAGCAAGGGAAAGCCTATTCATCATGTCGAAATCGGAAAGCAGCTTGGCATCATCGGCTTTGCTTCCGACAATTCTACATCCGGCAGGGGATCGTACTATCTCGTTGGCGCCGGCGCCCTCCTAGAACAGGCCCTCGTCTCGTACGCTCTCAGCTTCGCGACTCGCCAAGGCTGGACTCCCGTCTCACCTCCGTCCCTAGTCTACTCTCACATCTCCGCCGCGTGCGGCTTTGAACCTCGTCATGCTAGCGGCGCGCAGCAGGTTTATGACATTGCTCAGGATGAGCAGAATAAGATAAAGGGTGCGCCTGAGATGAGTCTGACGAGGACAAGCGAGATTACGCTGGCTAGTATGAAGGCAAACACAATAATCTCCAAGGAGGAGTTGCCGCTTAGAAGGGTGGCTGCTTCAAGATGTTACAGGCCTGAGGCTGGGCTGGACACAGAGGGACTGTATGGAGTGTGTGAGTTTACCGAGGTCGAGCTCTTTGCCTGGACGAAGCCAGACCAAGAAGAAATGGAATTCTTCTTTGACGAAATAATCGACATCCAGACTGATATCCTCGGCGCCCTTGGCCTCACATGCCGTGTTCTTGGCATGCCAGTCCACGGCCTTAGCGCCAGAGAAGCCAGTAGAGTCTCCATTGAGGCCTTCTTTCCCTCACGCGCGGTGGGTAAAACACCGGACGAGGTCCACGACGCTGCCTGGGGAGAAATTGCCTCTGTGAGTTTCTGCACGGATTACCAGAGTCGACGGCTGGCGACGAGGATGAGGGACGCGAGGGATGGGACGTTGGGATTTCCGTGGACGGTGAGTGCGACGGTATTGGATGTGCCTAGGGTTATTGCGGCGTTGCTGGAAATCGGGTGGGATGCTGATGAGGGGATTGTGAGGTTGCCCAAGGTGTTACATCAGCTTATGGGTACAGATAGGATTGAGGGCCCCAAGGGGGACTGAGAGTGACATGATGAAGCCCAAGATGGGCCTTGACTCGACACGAATCAACCACGCATCTCACTCTTCACTCTAAGGAGTAGCGTCTCTCTCACGGCGAGCAGAAGAGCGTACTCACCACACCTACATACTAAGTAGGCAGCTGGTCCAGCAAATCGATTATGCCTGCGCACTTCTCTGTATTATTACAACTTGTACAACCTGGTAGGATCCAGATCACGAACATCTACCCGTTCGTTGACTGGAACTAGGACATGTCAAGCTTTCCATGTTCCGGTTCTTTTAGACCGTTTTCTCAGTGGCTATTACTTCCAATCCCCAACCATCCCTCTAGCATCTTGTTTTCCATAGCTTATCGACACTTCATCCGTTCGTCTAATCCCACTGATATCATTCTGAGTCTTTGCATCGCGAAGTATACTTTCATCGCTGGCATTTGCATTATACGCAATGACAGTTCTGTTTGATGGTCCGCCACCTCCAATCGTTTCTGTGCCAGGCACTGAGCCGTTTCCATATCTCCGACCGCTGTGATTGCCGTACATGGGAAGCTTGTAGGAGCTCGCTGCACCGGAGCTGTCGCCTTGGCTTCCGTATCTGAAGCGCACATAGAGAGGGCGGAGAACGGGGATGGAGGAGCACATTATTGTCACGGTGCTTTCGGTCGCGGACCAGATGAGCATGTCGACTGTGTCGTCTGTAAAAGTCAGCACGTAAGTCGATAGTCTGTGCGGGTTGAAAGGGCATACATATGTATTCACTGGCGTTCAATCCGTTGAGAGCAACGGTACGGACAATACCACAGATACCAGCACTAACATCATCAGTCAAGATTATTCAGCATCTGCCACAATGAAGACTTACAAAATACCGAGACTTAAACCGCACGCGACTGTGATCTTCTCCTTGCGCTTCATGTTGAGCTCACAGATGACAAACCACGGGAGAATCGCGAAACAAAAGTCCGCAACAACAAACCAGGCTACACAAATTAGCATCCTCCAAGTATACATACAAGAACAACTTACATCCCACAGTCAAGCCAACTTTGGAAAAGTCAATCCAGCACGTCCCCGGCACCCGGCGATCCCAAGTCCTCTGCACAGGGTCACACTGCACAACGACAACGATACTAGAAAACAACGTGATGAAGACTGTCCCGGCGAGAAACGCCCAGATGAACGCTTTCTGAAACTTGTTCCGCACGATGCGCAGCAAAAAGATACCGACGGCGCATTTTCCTAGGCCGATTACCATGAGCCCAGCTACCTGGCTGTATATTTCCAGCTCGACGGCTCGGAAGTATGCATCGGGGTTTCCAATGTCTGCGAACTTGCGACCGAGACCGTATTTGGTACCGGCTGTTACGAAGGCGGAGTAGATGATCTGGAAGACCTGCAGACTGTTAGTATAAATAGACGAATGGAGTCGGGTGAACGTTGTACCAGGGCAATGATAACGAGGTAATCATCTGCCCCGACAGAGTGCAGAATCTGAGATCTCGTGTAAAGTCTCAATGCAACGAAGATTGCAAAGATAACGACTTGAACCCATAGGACGACATTGAGCATCGGCCCCAGGCATCCATAGTAACTCGTCATGATCGCAGCAAACCCAAAAGGCCAAGATCAAGCTGTCTTCGAAAAGAATAGGAATAATACAGACTGGAGTAGTTCACGTTACGTGCTGGACCTCAAGAACTTATCGGCTCCAGCGAGACTCGTTACTGCCCCTGATCACACGTTTGTCACAGCCGAGTCCCCAAGGAAAAAGAAAGTAGCGAAGGATCACTACCTAGCGCGTTTCAATGCATTGTTAAGGAGGGTTATTAACTATACTTTGTTCTGACGAGATCTACGCGAAGACCCTTGTTGGCGACATGGTGTGTCTGTCACGAGAGAGGCAAACTCGGAGATAGACCAATAATAAGTGGTTGTATAATGGTAGTAAGGTATGTTGATCACACTCCGGAGACGAGGGCAAACATGGTGTGACTCTTGGTTGATGCGGGCTTGTTATCTCTTTTCTCATGTGATATCACATATGACAGACTTCTAGTGAGGCTGCTAGGCTTACAGTGAGTATCTGGCAATCTGGATCGTCGCCAAACTCCAAAGACTGGGGCTCCTGCAGGAACTTGTGTTTGGCGTATGAACTATGAAGTGCACGCGTCTTGCAGTCAATTCTACAGTCAAACTGATTCTTCTCAGTTGCCGCCATCCGTTTGACTTGCCGAGACAATGAATTATCTCCATTGCCTCATCAAACGGCGCTCGTTGCTTTTTCTATCCCAAACGGGCAAGATATTCCCCCACAGTCATCATTGGCCCCCATTTGTCAACCGACTGCATATGATATCTGACAGTAACAGTCGAGGAAACCCCACTAGCAGAAGCGAAACCGCCAGAGTAACATCGCCTGTCAAGATTTGGGAACTAAAGAAAAGTCGCCCGCAGAAATCCTGCCTAGCGGCTCTGATGCCAGAATTTAATCGAAGGCGGCAAATCCGATCAATTTCCCGCAGGAAGGATCTAAGCCACTCGGTCAAAATAACACATTAGCTTCTTCCCTCTCCTCTTTCAGGCAGAATAGACTCTGTTTTAGACCCACTATAGAACAATGTATATGACGATCGTGGCTCGCCGTGGCGTTGATGAACCGCACCATTTCGTCGGGCCGTTATGGATCAACCGCCGTTAAATCAATGGTTCAAAAGGATTGGTCAACGATTGTAGGCGCCCTTGCTTCTGGTAACCATGAAACGGCCGGATCTGACATACCTTTTGGCTCGAAGCCCATGATATATTCCGCGTCAATTATGTTGCAGCAACAGCTTATCTATAGCATGAGCCTCAGCTCACGACTTCGGGTCTTTTTGTAGCGGCACCATAACGTAAAGAATTACCCGAAGTACCACGCTTACCCCGTGGGATTAACATCCTAGTAGAAACTAGCTAAGCGACCCTATTGCCTGGAGAGCCTGGAGAGGATGGGGCAGGAATCTGTTCTCCATCAGTTGACGTATCATTATGGGGAGCAGTTCCTACTCATGTTTGTGAATTGGCAGCACAGACGTTGCTGATGCCTAATAACAGTCATCCTAGCGAAATTTAGTGCATTATCACGAAGGGAATAGTATGGTAATACTATGAGTACTGTAGCAACAGCACTTCTTAATCCAGCCTTCACCTTCTCTTGAACTATTTCGCAGTCGATATCTGAAGGATCTGTCACATAGAAACTCCCTTTATCCCTTGAGGGTGGAGAGGCAATCCTTTAGTCCTGATCAAACCAAGATAACACGTGCCCTCTGTATGGACCAATAGGTCTGCTATCTACGAATACTGCAAGCTAACTGATAGCAAAGCCAGTATTGGACTAATTCACCACGAGATAGCGCTGAAAGAGACGCCCCTCCACACCAACTTCTCATCCCAGCAAGGGGCAGCAGGGTTCTCCCACATCGACTGAATCACTAGTCTAAGTGCAGACACCTGACTGTGAATCATACACTTATTTATACAAGCGAGCTATCTCATTTTCTGTCACAATCCCCTTAACTTTTCTTTTTCGGCTCCACTACAAAACACACTCCCATTCTTTACCTGACTTCTAACAATGGGCTCAGTTAGTTCTTCAACAAACGATGTCATCGCCAGCCTCGATGCCGTGAACCCTAGTCAATTCGGCGGCGATGAAGTCGAGCGTCTTCGTGTCCGTGCAGCTGCGCGTCGTTTACTAGCAAGAGTCGAGACACCATACGAAAGAGCATGGGGTTTTTGTTTTGAGCATCCTGCCGTTTTTGCGTCGCTGCAGACCGCGATTGACTTGGGAATCTGGAAGGCCTGGACTAAAGAAGGTGGAGGGAAGAAGACGATTGATGAGTTGGTCAAGTTGACTGGGAGGGATGTTGAGTCAGACTTGTTAAGTGAGCTGTCATATTCCCGCCATGTTAGTTCTAGCTTACCTTTCTCTAGGGCGACTTTTCCGTCTCTTGGCTGCGTTTTATGTGGTCGAGGAGACAGACGTGGATACCTTCAAGCCCACGCCGTTCTCTTATGCCATTGGTGATGAAAGTACCAAGGTCCGAGCGTCACTCGAAGCAGCGTAAGTCTCCCAGCCATAGAGCTAACACGGCAGCTAACGGCAACTAATGAAATCTAGAACCTACCAGTACATCTCAGCAGGACAGAATCTCCCCAAATACCTCGCCAAAATAGGCTACAAAGTCCCTACAGCAGCAGAAGACAATAACTATACAGGTAGTGATCCCGATGGCCTCAACTTCTTCGGTCGTCTTCAGAAGAGCCCAGAGTGCTATGAAGCTTTTACAGGTCACATGGAGGCCTGGACGTCTTGGAAAACGCCCTGGACTAAGATTTACGATCCTAGCAAGTTGGTCGAAGATGCTGAGCTGAGCAAACCGCTTGTTGTTGATATTGGCGGTAATACTGGCATTGATATCTCTCGCGTTCTCAAGGCCAGGCCGGATTTGCAAAAGGGGGCTTTGGTGCTGCAGGATCTACCGGAGATTATTGAGCGGGCGGATGTTGATGAGAAGATCACGGCTATGGTGCATGATTTCTTCAAGCCCCAGCCTGTAAAGGGTAAGTCTCTCATCCTAGTTAGCTAAAGATTTCAAGTACTGATTGAAGCTAGGAGCCCGGGCGTACTTTATGCACGCTGTTCTTCACGACTGGCCCGATGCCCAAGCAACTCAGCTCCTTCGGAATACCAAGGATGCTATGACAAGGGGCTACTCTAAGCTCTTCGTCTACGACATCGTGTTGCCGCCAACTGGGGCTAGTATTAGCCAGACTACCATGGACGTTCAGATGATGTCTCTTCTTTCAGCCTCTGAGCGAACTAAGAGTCAGTGGGAAGAATTGCTGACCGGGGCTGGGTTCAAGATTGTCAAGTTCTGGCCTGATCCTCAGCAGTATGAGATGTTGATTGAGGCAGAGATTGCATGAGTTGGCAATGTACGTCAAAGGCGGCTTTCACGGTAGCGAGTAAAGATCTTTTTGCTAGTTCCGACCCTCAAAAAGAGACTCGATTCTCTTCTCATTAATTCGCCCCAGGAAACAAATCTATTGACAGCTCAGTAGTAAGACAAGCCTCACCGATTATCAATAGCAAACTTACTCCTCGTCTTCTGAGAGCGCAATGATACTAAACTCAGCACTCCCTTCCCCTGCGTTAATAAACCGCCGCACCCCAATATCCAAGACCTTGCTGCTCAGCATATCCTCTCCCTCGCCCACAGGTCCATAGCACATCATCCCACCAAAGCTTCCATCCAGCCCCCAGAGATTTCCATCCGCACCCTTCACAAAAGCCATGAAGTGATACCCAATAGGATCTTGTGCATCAGGTGCAGCCGTATCGCCTCTAGCAGCCGCCTTGCTGTGTGCCTCTTCTATAACAGCTGAGTTGTATAGTAGGTCCGCGTGCTGAGTGGGTAAGGGCAGCTTTAGAGCTTCATCGAGGAGTCCAGCTAGTGGCGATGACGGCACCAGACGCTCACGCAAGGAACCGTTGAGTAGGGCGTGGACCAGGGCTACCATGCCGCAGGCGTTGCCGATTGTCTGGGGGAACCAGAGGACCGGCTGGTTGCCGTCAGTGGGATAGAGGCCATCGAAGCCTTCCATCGAGTAAGCTTTCCGGTTCGGAGGAGCTGGTGTTCTTTTGCCAGCGGCTACGTCTTCAGCCTCGACGGCGTGGTAGGCGTTAGAGGGCGTGATGAAGATGAGAGCGTGTGCTGGGCGCGGCACCACGGCCAGGAGCTCTGGTTCGTCGAGGGAATAGACATCATGAAACGCCAGCTTGGGGTCCATGCCTAGGTCGTGGGCTAGGTTTGTGAAGACCTGAGGGTTGTTCTCGAGGGGGACGAAGAATTTTCTCCCATCTGCACTGTGATAGACTGCCATCTTGACTCTGAGGCTACTGACAGGAGAGTTAAAGGATGAGCGATGCGCTCAGTATGGATAGTCAGGGCTGTCAGCAGTAGATGGCCTAAACGGGTTACTTATGCCTTGGATGGGTTCTTGTGTTGGATACCTATTTTCAAATGAGGGGTGCATGGCGTCTTGTATATAACAGTTGGGGAAGGCAGGCAACAGGAGCTGACGCTAATCGCATAGGGCGCGATAGAGTTATGCTTGCTAATTTTCTGATTGGCTGAGCATGCTCGGGCGGGGTTCTGAGTAGCATCACCATTTGTCAAGCAGGGACTCCAAGCTTTGAGCAAGATGTATTATTAAAGTCCAGGACTGTGATTGAAGGCTTATAGTATAGAACATAGTTAATGAACAGTATGGCAAGAATGGGGGCTGCGTGATGGCTAACATGAGAAGTTTGTGCATTATATCAAGCACGTCATTCCTCCCCATAGCTACATGTTCCTACCAAGAGATTCCAAGCCAGTCTCTATTCTCGGTCAAAATCAGCTAACTCGCCAAAGACTTGCAGCAGTGCACCGGATTAGAGCTCTTTTCCAGGAATATCTATCTGAAATATTCCTCTTCAACTTACAGCTAACAGGTGTTTAAGGTAGCTCACTGACCGTACAGACATTGTCCTTTCTGTCCAAACCATTTGTGGCTCATTTGACGAAGCTTTATTGAACAGGATATTAAGCTTTTTAGCCAAAAGCAAGATGCTACGTAATAATAAGTGCAATAAGTATCTTGCCTGTATGTGTTTATTGGTGTTCTTTACCTGTATGCTCTGGGGGCTCAAGCCTCTTTTAACCTCTTAACCTTATCGGAGGCAGACTTTTGTCTACGCTAGCTAGTCCTGATACCTGATAAACTAATAAATGCATATATTTGTTCGTCCCACTTCAGTTCCTATTCGTAGGCCTAGACGATTTGGTCTACCCTTGATGTTCAATTTTCCCATCAAAATCAGTAAACCAATCAGCCTATCGTGGCAGGATTTCTCCTCGCAGATATAAGAATCGTTAGAGTATCTCAATTCTTTATAGCCGAAACTCGAAGGGGTAGGCCATTGCGTATTGTCTATATAGACACACCGGCAAGAGTTCATTCCCCCACCGAGCAGAGTTAGTCTGACCTCCAATAGGATCGGCCCTAGTAGATCAAACCATTTGAAGAATGGTCGCTGGTCCGAAAGATCGTCTTTGAGATAATTTGTCAAAAGAACGGATTTGAAAAAAGGAAACCTCGCTTGCTCTGCTGCTGTACTAGCCAAAGGGAGTAGTAATCTCCAATTCCATCCATCAGGTGACCAAAAATGTTTCTGCCTATAGCTTGAGATCGAGATTTGTAGCTTAAGGGAGGGGAAAAAGACCCAAGCGTCAACCTCGTAGGGTATTTTACTTATTTCATGAAGCCCAGCAAGGTAAGGCTGTGCGGAAATCCAAGCCCTGTGTTCTATGCAAGATGATGAGTATGGTTTCTTCAGATTCGACGAAGCATCAAGGACGTCTCTGCTCCATAGCTTCGTACGTTTCCTGTCGAGAAAGGGAAACAGATCGAAAAAGGCCTCAAGCATTGTCAGAAATAATGCCCAAGTCGTTGGCATATGTTCAAGTAACCCAACATCCTGGTCCATGGCAGCTAGCATCTGATAGAAAAGCACGAATCGAACACCGAAAATCTCGTTTGCCGTGTCAATTCCTCGTGCCTTAATCAACTTACTAATTGGGGATAGGACGTTCCTGCGTGCAGCTGTAGTGTAACGGCAATTATGAAATCTGGAGGCGAACTCTTTCAGTGCGTTACGTGTTAAGATGTCATCGTATCCAAGTGTGGCAATTCTGATGTTGCAAGCTCTCAATTGTGCTGCTAGGCTTTCTTCGCAGTTTATGGATGACATGCCAATCCCAAGGTATGCGCCAGCCGTAGATCGGTGTTGTGGACCCAAGATCTGAATCCGTGCTAAAAGAAGCCACCAATACCAAGACAAAGCTGTATCGGAGTTTTCGGAGTCTTGAGAAATACTGTAGGCATAGTTTCCGATCATTTCTAGGACACGTGGGTGCTTTGGCGGGTAGGATTTGAGCGCTTGACACAGAATCCAGTCCAAGGTATCAGCGCTAAGTCCAACTGTGCTCTGGCGGAGGGAATAAATAAGCTTGTAGTCAGCGTGCCCGTAGTCTTCGTATGATTGATAGGCTGCTTTGGCAAAAAAATAAAACTCGTCCGTCCACCCACGAAGCCTTAGTAGCCAGCCTTCAGTAAAGGAGGCAATCGAGTAGTCTCGTGATACCCTGCGAATGACTAGCTCTGAGGGTCGAGCTGGGACGTTGATAATATCGGCTAGATGTGTGTTGCAAGGATACAGCTCTTCGTAGATTGATAGCAGGTGTTCAATATGAAGATTGCCAGAGGCACTATACGATTTCATCGTCTTGCTGTACATCCGTAAAAGCTTAGCAGTCTGTCGAGCCTTGGCTTTTTGGGTCTCGTTATCCATTCTGTGCCTTATCCAGAAATGTATAAGAGGGTGGATGGTGTATACCCGTTGTCGATGGCGTTGTCCGTCTGAGTGTTTCAAAAATGAATAGGAACTGAGAATTCTGAAAGCCTGATAAATCTCAAACTCTGCACGAATGTAAGCTCGATAGACTCGGAGTTAAAGGATTCTAAGTTACCTATAGAGCTTTGGGTAATAAACAACGCCGCAGTAATCAATCTTGGACTTAAAAAGCCACAAAGTATCAACACCTCAGCGGCCAAAGGGCTCCTTTCTCTGACTGCTTCGTAAGATATCTCCCATGTTGTCCAGACAGTTTTCTTGGTGGATTCCCAGGGATAGTATATTTGTTTGCTTGCGAATGACTGTTTCGGGTGTCTGCGGTAGTGGAACAAGTAATCAGACACCGGTGAGTCGGTCTGGGTCATCGCAATATGATCACCTGCTTGTGAAATAGCAAGGGGAAGATACCCTAGTTCTCTTACTAGTTCAAATGAGCCTTTCCACTCTATACGCTACAGTTAGCTTGTGTCAGGCGTAATAAAAAATCTTCAAAGCGTACCTTGTGCAACATGACTAGCGGGAACAGCGTGGCTAGTCTCGTTCAAAAGCTCGATTGATTCTTCAATAGTCATTTCGTCTACTTCGATCGAGTTCCAATGGAGAGCAAGATCTCTCCTGCGAGAAGTTATGATAATGGAACCACGTAATGTTGGTGGGAACCAATCTCGAAAGTCAAAACTATCAAGGTCATCGACGTTGTCGATTATCATGAGCCAGCCACAATTTCCATCAGAGGACAGCCATGTCAGGAACATCTTCCGTAGTGACTGGTCGCTGGTATCTGATAGAGAAGAGGAAGGAGGCTGTTGTGTCTTCAGCCGCAGACCCTCAAAACGTTTGGCCAAGGTTTCTTTGATGTGGCCGTACCAGGGCCTATCGCGTAGACCATGAATCTCATAGTGTCGCTGAAGCGTTTCGATGCAATCAAGTATATCGGTGGCAGCAGTGTAGTTACGGGATCCATCAATCCAGAACAGTGACGTATAGTCGGCATGATATCTATGCATATACTCAGTAGCAATCTGCGTCTTGCCCATTCCGCCTGCTCCATAGAGTACCACCAGATTCAGACTTGTACTGTGCATTGGCGATGAGAGCTTTTGATTGAGGCTTTTCAGTAATTCGTCGCGTCCAGTGAAATGTGGATTCCGTGCGATACTTGGGACTATACCCAAGGCGAACTCCTTGCCGCCTTTGTTAAGTCTTGGCTGCTGCATCTGGCGTACTCTTGGACCTTTGCAGGATACCAGTTAGTCTAATACAGCGGAGTAAGGAAGAGATTAATACTATTCCTCCACTCCCAATCCTTCCAATTGTCATCAATCTTAGGTTTGGAAACATTGGCAAATATGCGCAGTTTGTTCACGAGCGTTTGGAAACCGTCGTCCTCGCTTGTTGTAAATTTTGCCATGGATGAATGATCCGCAATCAAGGGGATTTCTTCTGAATTTCTTGCTCCTGATATAACTGCCGAGTGTTTTGGCACGATCTAGGGGCAAATTAGCCTGATTGGTTTCGTTTAGGGTAGAATCTTACAAGCAAGCTCATGATTCCTACATCCATCTTGATAGTTTCGTAGAAAAATATGGTCTCAAATTCCTGACTAATAGCATTGTAATCTGATTGTAGCTCTTGCAGCCATTCTGAGTTTCGCTCCATTTTGCTCAGAATCTTCTTGTTAGTGTAGCTGACAATGGATGATATCTGCCGAAGGACCTGGGCAAGCGGAATACCTTCCCCTCCCTGATGCGGTGTTCCTAAAAATATCACGGCATAGGTTGAGAGTTGGATAGCTTTAAAATGCTCCAAGTGACCGACGCGGGCTAATTCGGCCTTGACTAGAGCCTAAATTCGCTGTATGTCAGTTAATATGTGGTGAACTTATCTTAGACGAACTCACAGCCTTCAGGATAATTCCTCCAAGGCTATGCCCGATGAACAAGATAGGAGTCCTCTCAGTCTGCCAATTACTCATCAGATCGAGTTTCTCAAAGGCCACTAACTAAATCACCTGAGTCAAGCGACGCTCTGTACTTAAAGCAGTCAAAAGCGCTTTCGCATGGTCAGAGACGTCCCAGTCAAGCGGTGTCTCACTCCCACGAGTTCTCGAGTCATGACTGTAAGAAAATATTCGGGCGCAGGGAATTTCCGAAGGTAGGAGATCCTGAAGCCAAAAGACCTCGTTCTTGGCAGTCCAGGACCTCCTCCAGTGCCCATCGAGCCCATGAACTGCGACAATACTGGGACATGTCAACTTATTACAGATGTCATCAAACGTAGGAAAACATCATACTCAACACAGTGCTCGGACGAGTCTGGGCTTGTTAATTGGTATAGCTTATGTCCCAGTTTGTGATTCGCATCTTCGGTAGCACTACCGAATTGAATAACGAGGCACAGCCACTGCACAGCCGAATCAGCCTGGAGACTTTTGACGTCAAACAAGCACTTACAGTTAGAGAAAGGAGGGCGAGAGAAGAGAACGAATTCGAGTGGCCTAACATGACAGGGGGCGGGCGAATCTGGGCTCAAATTTCTTAGTGGCAGCGTCCTTTGTCCCATGACAAATGCTAAGTGTGTGGGATTATGAGTTGGCAACGAAAACAACTTCGAGGCTGAGAGAAAGCTGAAAGGGCTGCAAGGTCGCCTTAGATGTTAGGCATTAGGAGTTACTGGGCGCTTATGGAGCGACGCTGAATGGCTAGGTTCACTGGCCTCACCTTTGAGGTGCTCAGCTGCATCATAACGTCATATCATTTGAAGCGGGGGCTTGAAAATCAGCCAGAGCCCAAATTTAAGCAGAATTTTGTGTTTCTTGAGCAGTTTGAATACTACTCCAGCTCGCCTATCTTGTTATTCAAGAGTCCAAGATGACATCTCCCGCAGCGCCATGCCGTCCTCCCAATCCTTCCGAACCACCATTGTCTGAAACCGGTACAAAGCCAATAACTCTGCTATCGAGAGGAACACCAACACGGAGTACAACAGCCTCTGGTCACGATGTCGCAGCGGAAGAATACAAAATGTTTATTACGCTCGTCTTTGGAGTTTCCATTTTCGGGGCATCAACCTTTGCTGTAGCCATCGGCCAGATGACAGATCCAGCAGACATATGGAGACCTAAAAAGCCTCCGTTCTCTATGGAAACGGTCCGAGGTTTCCTGGGAGGTGCCTGGCTATGTTTCATTCTTGCGATTGCTGTTGCTGGCTTCAGCTCGAGTCTACTGACACTCCTCAAAAATCACGCCAATGGAGCTGACGTGAATGGCCAGAAAAGGTGGAAGACTATTGCAATTACTACTTCTGTGCTTCTATGGACATTACTTGCAGTGGCCTTCCTCTTCTTATCTTTGGCTATGGTTCCGTATGCCTATATCCCAGGATGGATCGCTGTGGCATCTGCGATCCTTTTTGGTATTGGTATGGCGTGCTTGTTATTTTTTCAGATTCGGTAAGTAATAATTTATACCTACCAACATGTGCACAGGACTTACTGTTTCCTCAGGGCACACTTTATAAATAATCAAGGTTAGACTGCATTACGACACAGTAGAGGGAGAAAATATATTTAAGATTCTTTTTAACTTATATTAATTTTCAGATCTAGGGACCTATAAATACTACTTAGTAGCTTTACTTTAGGAAGTAGTTAATATACTCTAAATATGAATTTATACCTGTAAACCCTTATTTGGTTATAATAAGGCATGCTTAGATATAAATTTGCATTCTGCTTTATTTTCAAGTCTTAAATTAAATTCTTGGATTAGTAAAAGAAGATAACAAGCTGCGTTTACCTATAGGCAATAGTAAAAGATTTCTAGTTTCCTAAGTTATAGTATATATGTTAGAACCTTGTGTAAGAGATAGATACAGATTTCCTAAGTAGTATTATTAGAAATTGCAAAATAGAATATTATTAGAACCTAAGGTTATTTAGAACAATTAAAATAATAAGTTAACTTTTTTACAAGAGCTAAACTTTGCAGTAACCTGGTATTTTTAACCTTAGAGTATTGACATAGCTACTTATTTTCCAAGATTTCACTTATCCCTCTTATATCCATTTAAGAACAGTAATACTACATATAAAAAGAATTATTACATCTCTTCTATTTATATAGTTTATGTCAACATGTTCTTCCGGAAACTTAGGTTGGTGGATAAATCTACAGGGTATGTCCACTGCTAGGATTGCTTTTAAAAAATACTCCGAAATGGAAAATTGCTTAGATCAATTTGGGATTATTTTAAAAGTTTAATAAATGAAACCTCGAAGCTCAAGCACTTTATTCGACTCAGTCTCAACCTTTGTGGATAAAACTTTGTTCTGCCGTGCCATTTAATATTGGGGAATAGCAAGGTATCATGCGTTATTTGCGACGGGCGCTAACACGGCTCGGCAGAAAATCATCAGTCGTGACTGTTGAGAGCTAAAAGCTTGAATACGAACCGCCACAAGAAAGTTAATTGAGAATCGCTCAATTGACTTTTGGCAACTGACAAGTGTTGACTAACGATGAGCCATAAAATGAGGCTATAGCGAAAGCAGTAGTTAAGCGGTCAGCACGTGGCGCGATCAGCCAAACTCACAGTCGCGCAAAGAAAAAGAGGGAGGCTGGGTCCTTGAAACCCGTCTCATTAACCTTATCGTTATCGTTGAACAAAGCATCACGTCGCACCGGAACGGCTCATCACATCCGATCGTGCCACAAAGAACACGAACAAGCCGAGGTGTCCGAGGAAGCGCTAGAAACAAGCGGTATTGGTTCGAGAAGTTCTGTCGAGATCTCAGCCACCTCGGGAAGGTTATCCCCAAAAGTGTCGTCTGACCGCGAGGCGAGGCGAGGCGTTCTTAGTTCGTGCTTGTCAGACTCGCGTGTGGCTTGCATGCGGAGGAATGTAAATGGCTTGCTTATCACGATAACAATGAACTGAATTGCGTAGTTTGGACGGAATACTCTTCCTGCAGATCGGATGCGTCTCGTGTCTAACCGAGACAAAGATCCCCCATTGTTGAACCAATTGTTTCAATTATAGAGATAAGGTCTCCACGTAAGATTGCAAGGATATTTTGTCGACCCCAATGCCCCCCGTCCGCCGCCGTCCTTTTGTAGCGTGAGAAAATGGCGATGACGATTAGAAAGGGCCTAGCAAGTAGACAAGCTACAGGATAAGGGAGAATGAGGGGTAGAACTGCCGTTAAGCCTGAACGAAATCAAGATCGGCGCCCCCAAAAGATCCCTGCGTTTTTGGAGAAGAGAGCTCGCCAGGATAGGAAGGTCTGTGAGGCGGAACTTTTGCTCTCCACACTTGTACCGAGTGAGGCAGTTCCCGATACAACATGGATGTGCTGCTGTATGTACGATGCCGTTCTTACCGGTCAATCTGTACATACATTTGGGCTATGCAGCGATTATCCTTGACATGGTGCAAGTGCCGTGTTTCCGTGCTGTGACATCAGATTACCCATGACGCAGGATCAATTTGGTGATCAATGCTATGTCTGTCCAGCCCATATACATTCAGGCTGCAGCTATAAGAACCTCCCCCGCCATGACCAATTGATCGTCTCTGCACGACCAAACCTGTCTCTCCAAAATGCGGTTCAGTCTGATCAGTCTTCTGGCTTTGGGGACCCTGTCCCAAGCCTTCAACCAAGGCGCCATCAACGCCTTCAATCGCGTGCACCCGCGCCGATACGATGAGAGGCGCGCTGCTGTACCGGAGCAGCCTGCCTTTGAGAAGCGATCCAAGAGCAAGTTCCTGAACAAGAATTCTGAGAAGTTTGTTGTGAATGGTACTGCGATTCCTGAGGTCAAGTTCGACGTTGGGGAGTCGTATGCTGGACTGCTCCCAATTTCTCAGGACCCCAAAGAGGAGCGCAAGCTGTACTTTTGGTTCTTCCCTAGCACCAACCCCAAGGCTAAGAGAGACGAGGTTGTCATTTGGTAGGTCTTGGTCTGATTGATAGACTGCAGAGCACTGCTGACTTTTTTAAGGTTGAACGGTGGCCCTGGCTGCAGTTCGCTTAGTGGTCTCCTAACCGAGAACGGTCCTTTCCTCTGGCAAGAGGGAACTCTCGCTCCCGTGCCCAACAGCTACAGCTGGACCAACCTGTAAGTTGATCAATTGACTTTGGTTGTGGCTTGACTAACAGTACTAGCACAAACGTTATCTGGATCGAACAGCCCGTCGGTGTAGGCTACAGCCAAGGCAAGCCCAACATCACCAACGAAGTAGAGCTCGGCAAACAGTTCATCGGCTTCTGGAAGAACTTCATCAACACCTTTGAGCTCAAGGGCGCCACCACCTACATCACTGGTGAATCCTATGCCGGCTACTACGTCCCCTACATCGCCGACGCTTTCATCACAGCCAACGATGACGATTACTACAAGCTCGGCGGCGTGGCCATCAACGATCCCATCATCGGTGACGGCACTCTTCAGCAGCAGGCTGTCATCTACCCGTACATCGAGTCTTGGGCGAACCTGTTCTATCTTAACCAGACGTACATGAATGCTCTACGATGGACGCATCAGCACTGCGGGTATGAGAAGTATCTCAAGAAGTACGGAACTTTCCCTCCGCCTGCGGAGAAGTTCCCTGTTCTTCCTGATCCGTATGCCGATACGAATCCCAAGAGCAACTATACTTGTGACATCTTTGACTGGGCTTACTCCGCTGCTCTTGATTCGAACCCTTGCTTCAACATCTATCACATCACTGATACCTGCCCTCATCCTTACAGCCAGCTCGGTATTGTCAACCAGGTAAGTTCATCTCTACTGTTTTTGCATAACCAGTACTAACAAGTTCAGGGCGACTATTCTCCTCCCGGTGCCCAGGTCTACTTCAACCGCACAGACGTGAAGAAGGCCCTCAACGCCCCCACCGACGTGACTTGGTATCAATGCACTCCCAACAATGTCTTCGGCTTTGGCAACCCCAACTCCAACCGCAGCGACACTTCTCTTGCCCCTGCCCAGAACGACGTTCTCAAGCGCGTTATCGAGCACACCAACAACACCATCATCGGAGTCGGTCGTCTTGACTTCCTTCTCCCACCCAACGGAACCCTCTTCGCTCTCCAGAACGCTACTTGGAACGGCAAGAAGGGCTTCCAGAAGTATCCCCAAGATAAGCAGTTCTACGTGCCCTTCCACATTGATTACAATGGCGGAAGACTCAGTGAGGAGGGTACTGTTGGACAGTGGGGTGAGGAGCGTGGTCTGACGTGGTATGAGGTTCAGCTTGCGGGCCATGAACTTCCTGGATACGCTGCTGGTTCGGGTTACCGCGTGCTCGAGAAGCTGCTGGGAAGAATCAAGAATCTTGGAACGATCGAGAACTTTACTACGCAGAAGGGCAACTTTCAGGGAAATCCTCATGAGCGCGACTTCACCGTCGTGAACCCTCTGGGTCTTCCTTGGGGTCATGGATTCACCCACGCTTAGGTGTTTATCTGCGGACAATTCTTGACTTGATAGCAAACTTACCAATTTATGGATTGAGCACACCTTTTGAGCACAAAAAGTGATTTCTTTGACGTATAGTATTCAATGATAGTTTTTGTCTGCGCCAGTGATAAGAGTGAGGGGATTCACATATCACGTGATGAACTCCATTTCGTACGACCCTGCATCGCGCACTTTTTGCCCCTCGATTGGACCCCTCCATAATTTATCAGGGTCCTCGACTGAGCCTCAGAGCTGCATCCTAGAGCCAAAGCCTCCCTCAACATGCTCCCCACGCCGCTGCAGGGCACGTATCAGCAGTACAAAGCAGACACCGACTCAGTCGCGGCATGGCTTGCTTCGACTGCCAAAGCTTGCGGCTACCCAGCTGATCTACTCACCTCCACCGCTGTGCAATCGTCTCAACCGAAAGGAGGAGGTCGTTTGAAGGGAAAGGCTAGAAAAGATGCCAAGAAGCAAAAGCCAGCCCCGAGTGCAGCTCCAGTAGAACCAACTCGACCCAAATACATCATCGCAATCAAGGACTTTATCCCGTTGGCAGAGTACATCTTTGCTTCGACCAAACCGCTCATCTCAGTGCCCAAGTCTCTCGCCGAGACTATCGACCGCGTTATCTACATGCGCTCCAGATTCGGAGCTCAATTGGAAGAACATGGAGCAGAGGTCAACGATGAATCTGACGCAACGCACACTTTCTTCATCGGCGTCCTCGAGAGCGTCAGAGCTGTTCTCCGCCCACGAATGCCCATTGACACGCCATCGTACGATTCAATTGAAGACTTGACGAATCGCTTCAGCGGTCTCAACGTCTACGAGCCATCGCAAGAATTCCTCGATGCTCCGGATATCGTTCGTCCTCAGAAGGCTCAAGACGATGAAAACACCTACGAAGCTGAACCGCAAAACACCCTCGAAGATGCTATGATAGCCTACGCTGTAATGCTCGATGATCTCACGCATATTCGATCTCACATCAAGGCTCTCTGGGAGAATTACAAAGATGGTTTTTATGACCTCGCCACTGCGGCTCTTGTCACAAACACGGGTATCGACCTCGCGCGGAATCTCATGGAGCCTGTTCTTCCCTTATTCGAACCACATGGTGGTGCTTGTGCTGTTTCGGAAAAGTTCTCTATCGCTTTTGCTATGATGAAGGGCTTTTCTATGATGGAGGTAAAGGCGTGGGGTCCCAAGGGCGGGAATGAGAAGATGTATGACATCGCGAATGATACATTCCTCACCGCCAACATTCTTCTCAAGGCTCTAGTTGCTCTTCTAGGACCAAGCAATATTCCTATCTATAAAGAGGGAACGTTTGGGACGTATGATCCCAATAGCGATCGATCACGGAAGAACGGCCATCAGAAATTCAACGAAGATCAGATTATTCTCTTTGAATACTTCACTGAAGCGGTAACTCTCGCACGAGCTGTTTCGAATTATCCTGTTGAAGACGAATTCATCCGCGGAATCCGGGAACTCGACAAAACTGACAAGACCCCCTTCTACTTGGTCTTTGCCACTCAAATCCTTCTCGATGTCCACCATATTCTCAGAGCGGATACAGCTTCAGTATTTGAGACGCTGAGCTCTCACACGAGTGCCATGCGCAATGATCTGAACCTCCATATCAAACATCACCAGAACCTCAAGAGTGAAACGTGGCCTGCCTCGAATGAGCGTGCGCTCAAGGAACTGGAACAGTCTATCGCCTGGATCGGTAAAGATCCTGTCTTTCTTGCCAAGAAGAGGGTTGGTCAGAAAGTTGGCGCACAAGTCACAGATGATCAGATGTATCGGATTCATTTCCTGTCGCCGATTCTCAGTGGACTGCTCCTCTTTCACTTCCGCGCCGGGATGCATGAGGTCGGCATCGCGGTGCTGAATGCTTGGGGATATGTTACGTATCCTGCACACTGCGCTTCAGCAGGAGGGACTGCTCGTTAGTAGTTGGCAAGATATGGATGTGGTCCGGAGCCTCCTCGGTGATTCCAACTTCTTTGTTGGAAGTCCGCCCAAGAACAAAGATGAGTATCTAAACAGATTTCTTCTTCAGATGGGCTACTCTGCTTCAGCCATCACAACCCACAAGGGCCGTCTTCTGCGACAGCCTAGGCGGCATCAGGACATGGCTTCTCGGTCTGGTCCTCGCGGTATAGAAGACGGTGTGCCTGTGTCGCGCATGTTCTTTGAAAGATATCTCCGAAAATCTGGACAAGTCGATCTTACGCCTGAAAACGTTGACTCCATCATTTCTCGAAGCAACTACCTCGAAGACAATTCTGAAGATGAGCTTGCCTTCGTTAAAGCAGACGATGCTTCAGACCTCAAGAAACAAAAGCAAAAACAGAAGAGAAAGGCAACAGACGGCGGTAAACTCAAAGCAGGCTCCCTTCTTAAACCCCTCGCCATGGCCTTCACCGCCGAAATGTTTGAGTTCTCTTTCCCCTATCTGGTTCTGCACCGGTGGTCGTGGAAGTTTCTTCGCCAGATTAAAAGTGTCTGCGATCCAGTACTGCGAAGACTTCATGGGCCGGCATATCTTGACCAGGAGAAACAGCTCCCGTTTACAGTGGGATACATACTCATGACGTTTGCGGAGGATCCGGATGGTGATGGCAAGGAACTTATGAGAATTGCGGCGGGGGAGTTTAATGGGTTGGTTTGCCAGAAGGGCATTGGGAATGTGACGATTACTGCGGCGAGAAAGATGTATGGGCTGGAGTTTGAGGAGGATGATGATGATAGTGATTCGTCTGTGCTGCCGGATCTTGAGTAGGGTCATGATGTACCTTGAGCGCAATTACTATGATGAGAATGTGTACTATCGTGAAATGATGATTTGTTGAAAGATTGAGATGTAGACTATGGTATGAAGACTCATTGCCGGGTGGCACCCTTCAACTCTCGCACAGACTCATACATCTGCCATGTGCTCTCGTGAACACGTTAGCCCTAGGTAGCATAAAAGATGGATAGTAGACTGTTGATTGAGCACACCTATTAAGCATGGAAGTTATTTATAGTGTGATTTCTACATTTGTTTAGTTATTAAGTATAGTCATCGACTGTAATCAAAGTGAGGGGATTCCCTTAGTACGTGATAGGCTCAAATTCGTACAGCCATTCCCCTACGTCACTTGTCAGGGTCCCGAAAGTTGATTCCTAGTGTCGTCTCTTCCCATCTGCGGACTTCCATAACAGAAAGACCTAACTAAGAGAAGTGGGGAATCCAGGCCATCCAGCTCACTTTTCCATAGGCTCTCTCGGGCATGGAGGAAAGCGAATACAGGGTCAACCCGAGGATGACAAGCCGCGCAGCCGTATAAAAGAATAACACTGCATAGGCTAACACCGCTATAACCGTTGCGATGATATCGTCAAGCCATTCTGGTGTTCTCTTTAGAGGGCCAAGGTCGAGCAGCATGATAAACCCTAATATGGCAACGGGGGAAAGCGAAGTCAACAAGGCGGCCAACGCAAACCATCTCCACAACTCTCGCACCAAATGTGATGGAAATTCCCAGTTCCAAGCAGCAAGGTGTATCGCCGAAAACACCACTGCGGTGAAGTAAAGGACAAAGGACGGCAAAAATGGAAGAAGAACCTTCCGGAATAAGGATTTTAGCGTCTTTGCATTTCTTGTTTCCTCCGCTACTTGAGATGTAGTTTCAGTTAAGACTGCTGACGTTCCTTCGGTTGTATCTCTTCTTTTCGCGATAAAGTCCTCTGTCGATTCCCGTCGCTTGACTTGTGTGATTCGTCTTGTTGCACGAATATCGAATCAGCAAACATGTCCGACCCTGAATCTTTCCTTCTCATATTCGAGAGCTCCTTACCAGGCTCGGTTCCGAGAAGGTCGTCTATGCTGAAAGTAAAGTCTCCCGGTAGAGTACTCATTCCCTCTGGGAATCGAAGGAGTATATGCCTTCGCTCAATGCCAAACGGCTTTTGCCACCACAGACTATACATAGCCAGTGCACACGGAATAAAGGCCAGCGTAGCCAGTTCGAGCTGAGATATAGCATGCCCTTGAGCAGTTCGGGCTATACTTTGGATAACTAGCCAAGTACACTGTAGAAGAGCAAAGACCTTAGTGAATGCATCTGATTTACCTAGGTCTTTGATGTCTTCTTCTGTGATTCTTGGAACTAATCTAGATTTATTCAGTTGGCCTAAGAGAGGTTAGCCAGCCCGTCCTTAGAGTTTAGTTTACAGCAATCCGTACTCAGCGAGGTAAGAATTTCAACTTTTGACACAAATCGCCAAGGTGACGTCGCGCAGTTTTCTTCTTCTGCTGGTGATACAGGTGAAATATCGCATACAATTATGCCCCCCATCTGAACATAGAATGCATGAGCCAAAGAAAAATGTGGTCTATGTCGGTTAGAAAATTGGTTGGATCTTGAGTGTTAAGCGTACCCATTTGTTGCTGTGTTTGCTTTCTTCATATCATATTTTGCTCGCAAATGCTGTGCCAAGGCCATAGCAACACCATACTCCGGGGCGACAGCAGTCAAAGCCATCCAGAGAAGCTTGCGTGTCCATTTCCACAAAAGAGGCTGCTCAGGCCAATAGGGTATCTCGATTCCTGTGCATAGCTTGATTTTGCGCCATCCAGCAATAGCTTCGTTATGCCTTGGAACGTTCAAGTGAACACACTTCCATGAACAGACGATGAAAATTGTTAGACAGCTCCAAATGATGCTCCACGTATTCCGGCGTGCGTCAGGAGACACCCAACCAATCATCTCATCGCTTGTATCGTCGGGGAGACTTGACATAGGCTGGGTAGGCGCTGCAGCTACCCAAGTCCTATTGAGTAGGGCAAATGATAGGAGATGGAGCAACATTCTCACCGAGAAGCAACGAAGAGGAATAAAAAAAAAGAGAATTTGAGGAGAAAAGCCCCTTCACAGGACGGGTGTTCTTTTTGAAGCAGGAAATCAATTCTGACGCGCCAACCCTACAGTAACGCCAGCCTGCTTTTCAGCTACTCTTGGCATTGCATTTCAGGGGGGAAATAACAAATCAGCGACTTCGAAACAAGCCATAGACCGGGTTTTGAAACCCACTATCGATTTTTTTTTGGTGTTTTCTGATTTCACGTAATTCTACCTGAGGCCCAGTTCTCTACGCTCAGTGAAATTGATAGGTCAATATAGTAGATCATCAGATCACATCCGCCACCCGGACCAGGATTGCCACTCAATTTCTTCAAATACGAGCTGACATCGATCCAGCTACATTCGAGCCGGAAAAACAAGGCACAGGGACTATTTCAGTATCTTGGCAACCACTTATCACACATTTTGGAACTTCATCATATCTTTTCAATATCTCCATTCAAAGATTGTCGTCCTTCACCACGTAAACCAATGGAAGTCGTTGGATTCTCCAATTCGTTCTGTAGACACGGCCAAGAAGCGTCTGTTACCCAGTGTATGTCATCCTACGGGACGAAGGTCACGCTGAGTGTAATCTTTCCTTTGTTGTCACTAAATATCCATAGACAGATACCTATCTTTGTAACATGTATAACAACCCAAATCCCGGTTATATTGAGCGGATTTCTTCACGAAACCGAGAAACTTGGGCTCCACCTGCGGAAAGCACATAAGAACAAAGGCTGTAACTAAGAGCGTTTAAGGTTAACCCAGCTATGCGGTGATTAGATTGGTAAACAAAGCATTCTAAATCCGCCGGTTCTCAAAGATGTTCCCAGTGCATTAGTAAGTCGTTGCTCAGGTCGGACTCGGGCGCCTTGGCCAACCCATCCTAGCGGTTACTAATTTCCCGTGGACCGAGTTAGTGTCAGGCGGGTACTTGGTACCTCTGCACTAAGACAAGATCAACAATGATGAAACAGACATGGAGGGATTGATTTCGTTGTAAAGATCACAGTAATTAAACTAAAAAGCCCAGGATTACAAAATGAACTATAAAGTTGAGCTGTAACGGGCTATCGAGGATGGCATTATGTTTAAAACCCTCCCTAGGACATGCTTTGGCAAATTGTATTTTACTCAGACATTATATAATAAATCTGACATTAATATATAATTTTATATCTTAAAAGTCTAAAAATGATGTCTGTAAGTATAATTTAAGTAGCATATATTTGTTCTTCTATATAAATATAATAAAGCTATAGTATACTAAATCTACAACTTGTGCATAGTAATGTATAGAAATAACACAGGTGCTAGAAAGATGGCTGAATCAACAGAACACTAATGACGTAGGATCCGTGCCTACATAGGCAACTGCATATTAGGATTGCAAGTATCAGGTACTGGTTAAGCAAAGAGGCCCAACCTTACAGCAGAGGCTCCAAGTCAGCCCCCACCACATCAGCATGTCAACGTGGACCAATTAGATGGGAGGCCAACCACTTGAGAAATGCACCCATGTGCTTATATATGATGAAATAACATGCAAGTGAAAAAATGACGACTGCCTGTTAATAACAGTGCAACCCACCTCAGTCTCATAGCTTTACACCCGCAACGGGAAAAGACTCGAAAAGTGTGTTACAATGGATAAGAAAGGTGAACTAGTTCATGTGACAGGCGACACCCTCGATCGCTTTGTACTACACTCGACATTGCTACGACTGATCGACCCTGTCCGAGGCAAACCGACCCGGAGTACACTCGATGAGAACCCAGACGACAGCTTTTTGGGTGCATGGCAGCTTCAGAAAAAGTTTCTAGACTCATTTGCTCTTATTTGCTCAACGTCTAGCTCAGGAGCAGAAACAGCCACGGCTGTTTGTCTGGAAATACACGATGAAAAAATTGGAAAAATCCTCCGTTTGGCGCGAAACCACGGCTTGACACCTGAGGATCTAGCTGAACTACAAAGAGTGTTGAAAGTGCTGCAAGAGGTCTCTAGAAGGGGTATGTGATCTTTTCAAATCGGATGAGCGTGGCTGACAAGGTGAGCGATGCAGAAACGCCATCACCGCAAGCCGAGACCAAGGTTCTACAACTGGTTGCTGAGCTTGACAAAGGCCGAATTCTGTCAATTGCAGAAAGGATTGAGAAGCGAGGAATTCGCCAATTTCTACAAAAAGCACAGTTTGGAGTCTATGGTAGTCAACTCCAATCAGAAAAACTCAGGATCTGGCTCGAGAGTTGCCCTTTCACAGCCTCTGCTTCCCGTATCCAGAATTGGACTTGTGAGACTATCATCAAGCTCATCAATTGGGCGTCGGAAGCTCGATGGCAGTACGCTGAGCAACTCCGAACTTTACTTAAACTTGATGAATCACAAAGCCAGTCTTGGTTGGATAATCTACACAAAGTCGCTCGCTATCATTCTGCGATCAAATCCATGGTCAAGTTTGCTATGAAGGAGCCTGGCATCTTTGCTAATATTGCTATCCGACCGATCAATGCTCCTCGTCAACGCCGGTTCAAACTCCCAAAAGACGAACCTCCACTGCTTGCAATCGTTCGTACACTTATAGGAAAAGATACGAACTCGACTATGGAGAAGCTTGAAAAGCATTTGGGCACCCATGATGTTGAAGCGAGGCTGCGTAGAGCCTGTCCCCCGATGCTGACACTTCATGCCGAGATGCAAATCGTTGTGTTTTACGAAAGCAACCCTGGGGTAGCTCCCCACCTGAGACTCATTGGGACGAGTAAAAAAGCTTGCTTTCTTTGCGACAAATATCTGCGTCATCATCCACTCAGGCTGCAAGCTTCAGCTTGCCACCAAAAGATTTACCCGTCGTGGATGCCACCGCCATACTACAACGTCCCAGGAAATTCAGCAAAACTCGCCTTCATAAATCTAAGTCGTGATATCGCGAATTTGGCGGGGCAGGACCTAAAGACAGCACTTACTGCTCCCCCCCGGCCACCAAACTATGATTCGACTGCTGGGCCTTCTCTGACCTTAACAGCAACTGTACCTACGGAACTGAGGTCACTGCAAAATACTCCAGCGAAATCTACGGTTCAAGATGAAAGTTCCTCAGAGGATTCTGGTTGAAACGCCGCGGCGCGATCTGGGGACGGAAGGTCCAATAAGGTGCATCGGCAACCATCCAAAACTGTCCACGTATATGCATGGTGCACTATCCCACACCACCAACGTGCGCTGTGCCGCTGTGGCAAGCAGATTTTGGCGAATTGGATGGTGGAGACCATCTTGACGAGCCAACAGTTTGTTCAAGGCCAATTGTTTTGCGAGACCCGTAACTAGTGTACAAAATGGACCAGGGAAATGAAAATATTTTGATGCCTGATCCTGCAGGAGGCCGACCACCGCAATGTATACCGGATTTGATGTCGCAGACCAAGGCTCCGTAAATCGTAGGTTCAAAATACAAAGCTGTCATTACTGCCACGCATCCCAAAAGAAACACTGTAACCATAATTTGTTATCTACAAAGACCATGGAGACAGCTGAAACCAATGCGAATATTGCCGTAGGAGATCACCGAGATCTCCTAGATATCATCGATAAGCTTCGTCTGCAGGGAGTCAGTCATTATGTTGACCTGCCCGAAATTATTGTGTGTGGAGATCAGTCTGCAGGAAAGAGCTCTGTCCTCGAGGCCGTCTCCGGTATGCAATTCCCGATCAAGGACGGCCTCTGTACGCGTTTCGCCACGGAGCTGGTTCTTCGCCGGGGCCGCAACAAGAGTACCAAGGTATCCATTACGCCTGGTAAGAGCCGCTTTGGTGAAGACAGTCTACGCCTTGAGAATTGGAGACCAACCGCCAGTATCGATGAAGAGGGTCTGGGCGCCGTGACGAAGGAGGCAGAGGCTATGATGGCCATCCCAACCGGCACAGGGGAGTTCTACGAAGATACACTCCGTGTCGAGCTCAGTGGGCCGGAACAGCCACACCTAACAATGGTGGACCTCCCTGGACTCTTCAGAGGAGGGAACAAGAATCAATCTGACGCCGATATCAGCATTGTCCATGATATGGTGGAGAGGTATATGGCGCGAGAACGGAGTATCATACTCACTGTCGTGTCTGCCAAGTACGACTATGTTCTGCAAGAAGTTACTCGGATGGCCAAGAAAGCTGACCCAGAGGGCTTGAGGACCATGGGCCTCATCACAAAGCCGGACACGTTGGATGTTGGCTCTCAGTCTGAACACTACTTTGTCCGCCTAGCCCAGAATATCGAGGAAGAGCTTAACCTTGGTTGGCATGTTTTGAAAAACCGCAATTACGACGAGCGCGATGTCACATTGGCACAGAGGAACAAAAAGGAAAAAGAGTTCCTTTCCCAAGGACTGTGGAGTTCCATCGAGTCTTCTCACTGCGGAGTAGAGTCCTTGAAGGTCAGGTTGAGTAACGTCTTGAGAGACCAAATTCTTGATCAACTTCCGAGTCTTCAACAAGATGTTGAGAACGGCATCCGCAACTGCGTTGAGAGACTCGAACGTCTAGGGCCATTAAGAGGCACCCCACAGCAGCAACGAAGCTACCTTTTGCGTGTGAGTGAAAATTACACACTTTTGATGAGGCAGGCAGTGGATGGCACTTACACTGATCGCTTCTTCGGTGACCGAAACGAACGTGCCAGTCTTTCCACAAGACTGAGAGCTGTGGTCCGCTTGAGACTTGACGAATTTGCTGAGGAGATGCGGGTCGACGGTCAGAGTCAACATATCATTGATTCAGCGAGTGAAAGTGACGATGAAAACCCTAACAACTCCCGACCCAGAGCGTCAAGCATTTCTCGGTCTGAATTCATTAGCGAAGTTGCTTACCGTCTCAAATACTATAGAGGTCGCGAGCTTCCAGGTCTCTTTAATCCTCTGATCGTCAATGACCTCTTCGTCGAGCAATGCGCGCCTTGGAGGAGGATTGCCAAGACACTTGCTGAGGACATGCTCGACATAGTGCATGTTACGACTGAAAAGGTAGTCGAGCAAAGTGCCGCGAGCGAAGTCGCCGAAAGGGTCTTGAGACTCATTCGTAAAGAAGTAGATGGCCTAAGAATCAAAATGAGCGCCGAGATTGACACACTGCTTGTATCGGCCACGCAACATCCTATTACGAATAACCCGCAGCTCGTCCAGCACGTCCAGCAGACCCAAGAAGACCGACACAAACGCACGGTTAAATCACTGATTACTAAGATGTTTGGGACAAGCCGTTTCGACGGCTCTGACAAAAAGATCAGTATAAATCCGCTTGAACTTTTGACACTGGCAGGACAGGGCTTCGAGCCAAACATGGAGCGTTTCGGAAGCGCCTTAGCAGTAGATTATATGAAAGCATTTTACAAGGTATGATATACCCCTGAGCCAATATTGACTGATTCAATCGCATTGACAGGTTTAATTTACGCTTAGGTTGCAGTCAACAGGTTTATCGATGATGTGAACATCCTGGCCATAGAAAACTGCCTCATCAGCAAGCTTCCTTCACTTTTCACATCAAGCAGTGTTGCTGAGATGAGTGATGAAAAGTTATACCTGCTTGCGGCCGAAAATGAGGCATCATCCGCCGAAAGAGAATACCTAGAGCTGAAACAAGGGATCCTGGAGAAAGGATTGCAAGACCTCAAGAGCCTCTACAGACACAGAACTGTCCGCAGAGGCTATAACGACTTATTGTCACAAGACCCTGAGAAGAAGTCGGCCATAACACGGAGCAAACCTGAAAAGGGGTCATCCGTTACAGGTAGCCCAAGGGCAGCCTCTGAAATATTTGCTGAAGAAGTCCCTATCAATGGGGAACAACAACTTGAACTTCCACCAGACCATATTAAGTGGCCAGATCAAGATGGTATGAAGGACTTCTGGCCACCTCCTGCAATGAGGAAGTACGTCAAGGATACCTTGGGTGAAGAACATCGATGGGGCAACTGAACTCTGTCTGACATAGACAAGAAATTCCATTCATCTACCTAAGTTATTCTGTTAGTTACGTAGGATAGCCCCTTTCAACTGCCAGACTTCGTGATGACGCTTGAACCCAGAAGGTTGTTCATTATTCACCTGCACTGTAGCCAATCGATACATGCTGGGTCAGGTCATTCAAAGGTAGCATATAAATAATAGATCAATTTCTGGAGTATTTGTCGTGCAAGATGGTACTAGTGTCGAGCCGCTCCTTTCAGCTCCCGTACAGATTCATACATCTGCCATGTGTTTTCACGAACACGTCGGCCGTAAATAGCGCAGGGAATAAATAACAAACAGACAGCGGTAGCGACGCATCCGCTGATGATGAAGAGTTTTGAGATGCCGATGGATGTCATCCAGCCAACCACGCCAAATGGGACTCCAATCGAAGGAATGTTGCGGATGAACGTCACAGAGATGAAGGCTTCTGCTGTAAGCTACTGGCCGTTAGCTACTGCCTTGCAGGGTTGGTTGGGTAGACGTACGGTTTGGTAAATGTCGATGATGATGGTGCATGAGATATCGATCATGGATGCCATCCCAAACCCAAACATGGCACCTCCAATACTAGGATAGATCCAGTGCCAGCCCTGATAAAATTAGCCAACATAACACAGTCTCACAATAAGAACGAGACTCACCTTATCAGCAGATATACCAAAGAGCACAAGTCCCCCACCCATAAGCAGCGCCGGCAACAGCAGAATATACAACCTCATCTCCGGTTCAAAAACCCCCCTATTCCTCTTCGCTAACTTAACAACAACCCAATCACCAAACACACCGCCGTAGACACTCCCCAGAAAGTTGCCAACAAATGGACCTAGCGACATGAGCCCTACACCCGCTGTGTTGAAGTTATACGGCGGTGCAGAGAAGATCATGGAGATAGATGACGTGAGAAGAATGAGAAAGGCAACGCAGCTAGCTACTTGAAGTGCGGAAAAGAGAACGTGCGGGAAGAGAAACATTTTGAGAGGGACGAGATAGTTACGCCAGAGAGGTTCGTCTGTGCGTGTTATGAAGCGCATTCTTTGTTTGTATTTCAGGCGAGGTGGATGGGTTTCTGAGTTGAGGTCCGATTCTTGGATGTCTGCCTGGTTTAGACCGTCCTTAGGGTGACTCTTGAATGTAGGTGTGTCTTGGCTTGAGGTGTTGCGTGTTTCGCCGACGGTGACGGGAATGAACTTTGTTTCTTCAAAGCAGAAGATGAAGAGGAGGAAGAGGATGGTCAGGACAATACCAGTGGTGTAGTATGTCCATCGCCAGTCTTGGGCAGCTGCTTGCACACCCACGATGCAAGGACAGACGAATTGACCGACCATGACAGCCATGATATAAAACCCATTCGCAGTACCCCTTTGATGAACAAAGAACAAGTCCGCAATCTGCCACGCGTCAGCAATCTTCATCTTCCCCATACATTATCACTTACCGTGATTTCCGAAATCGTCTCATTAATACTCGCCGCCAGCCCCGAGAGGAAATTCGTAACATACATCTCCCCTACCGTCTCCATCCTCCCACTCCACCACGACACAGCAGCCATAAGACCAGTGGAGAGGATATAGCAAGGCCTAGAACCGTACTTTCGAGCGAGTGGGATAAAGAGAAAACTTCCGAGGGCGAGACCAGCTGAGTTGAAGGCGACGCCGTAGTTGAGCTGGTCATAGGTTACGTGCATATCGATGATCATTTGCTGCCATAGGACCATTTGCATAACGACGCTGAGGCTGTTAGGGTTGGATGAGGATGGGGGGGAGAGGGGCGTACGCTGAGAAGAATGCTACTGTTACGGCGAGGACTAGGGTGAAGTTCCATGCTTTTCGGCGTTTGCTCCAATTCTATCGATGTTAGTTGGTTTGGTTGTAGAAGAAGGAAGGGACTGACCAGAGGATCATTGGGGTCTTGCGATGGTGTTGGAACGAGTATAATCTCAGATCGACCTGGTATAACACGTCAGTATTGGGGATCAGTGTTATGATGCAACTTACTCAGGAGACGGGAAGTCCCAGGGGGAAAGCTCAACTCGCTGTCCATCTTCGCCAAATGATCAACGAAAGTAACAAATACTAAGAGATACCTGTCTGGTCAAGCCTATTGCCCTCTCAGACAATCCCTCGAGGGTACCCCGGATTTATAGCAATGCCCCTTATCACCCCGAAATCGGCTTCACCCCAATGCTGGAGAAATCTTTCACCAACTCATCGGTATTTTGCGGGGTGCACCGATGCCCCTAGCATCCAAGCAGCAGGTCCACCCACTCACCAGTAACACCTCATTGGCCGCGTGTCGACCATCCCAAAACAGCCTAGCTAGAACAAACTCAGCTCAACGCCTCTCACTTTCGTCTCTCTATCAAGATCAACTTCATTATCGCCCCTTTCCAATGCTTTATCAAGTATCTCCTCTAAAATTAGTGCATTCGGCGTGTCGCGGTATGCGTCGCAGATACTCCCGCACCGACGCAGTGTTTGCACCCAGGAAGGTCGCGTTTGGAGAATGGTTACTTCGAGACGAGCTGCTGTGTAGGGATATAGCATGCTGTTTGTCGCGAGGATGTGAGCGTATTCTTCACGCTTGCGAGTTTCGTATAGTGCGTCGAGGGTCGCTACTAGACGACATACCAGCATCTCATTAGATGGCGAGCCAGCTCGTGTGCGCTTTTGCCGACGACTCATCAGTATGCCTGATAGCCGGAATGCTTCCCAGAGATGAACATGCGGGATAGACCCCTCGTGGCCCTCCCAATCAGCAAAGTCCTTCTCTACATCATCATGTGCCAGTCTCCCAAATACATCGAGAAGACTTCGTGGTAGGCCCGAGACACTTTCGACACCGCCGACTAGTCCCGTTGAAGACACTTTTTGGGCTGCACGCAGATACCCCCAGATTCCAAGGGTTGGTGTATCGCGCCCGCGGACAAAAGTGGGAATATCCATTATCGCCATGGCCTCAAGCGAAAAGCGGTATTCTAGATCCCCAATCCGATGCGCGTTTTTAGACTGCGGGAAGAGGTGGTATACCCACATCATGTGGTTCAGATGCGCCGTCCAGGGGATTCCTTGAAATAACTACAATACACGCTTAGTACTTCCACGTTTTGAGGGGGGTTATGGGGCTTACATGGAGAGTGCATAGGAATACACCCGCGTTGACCAAGCCCCCATCCAACGTCCCATCAAACCGACCTAGCTGCTCGCGAAAAAGGCGGAGACTTTGATTACAGAGATCGTGGAATAATGGCGGGGGGTTCCGGGGGTTAGTGTTGTAGACGTGTGTGGCGATTAGGCCGAGATATAGTGGTTCGTTTTGGAGAGCGAGGCGTTGGAGTTCAAGAGGGAATGGATCTTCTGTGGAGGTGGAGTAGAAGAGGAACACGGTTTTTTGAATAACTTGCTTGTCAGTGGATATGGATTGGGGTTGGTGAGCCGCTTACATTCTTTGAAGAGGTGTTTCTCTTGAGCACTTCTCCTTTGCAGCCACTGTGGTTCTTCAGGTTCGATTACTGGATATCCCATTCCTAACAGCGGATCCGATCCCAGGCTATCAGTCTCAAGTGGCAAAGCCTGGAACTGCCCAAAACCCTCCACATCATCAATCTCAACCCCCCTCCCCCGCTTCCTCTCATTGCCAGCCCCCAGAACAGGAAGTGAAGAGCCAGTAAGTTTCCCCCTTGATGCAACACCTACATCCCACTGTAACTTTAGAGCATACCCTTCGCAGTCGAGGTTGTTCTTTTGACATTCTCGACATGTTGGTTTTGTCTCGTCGCATTTTCGATGGCGCCTTTTGCATGTTGAACAGCCGGTTCTTGAGCGGGACATGTTGCGATGGGTGAGTTGGAGATAAGATATCGGGAGTTGATGTTGGAGTGATAGAGGGATGGGGCGGTCTGGGGTAGCAGAAATTAGCTTGCTGGTCGGGCCGAGAGGGCATTGTCATAGCCTTGATATAGGCTTGAGGCTGAGAAAGATTCTATGTTGAGGGATTGATTTCATGTTCCTCATTATGATTTTACAAACATTTCTACCGGTCATCTATTCTGCTTCTCTTCTGCTTCTACAGGACCCATCCATTCAAACGAGGACTACTTCTTATAAACCCTCTCACCCCCAAACCACGTTTCATCAACCTTCATCTCCAATAATCCATCCACTTCCACAACCCGCGGCAGTACCATAAAATCCGCTCTTAACCCCTTCTCCAACCTCCCCGTCCAATCCTCCGCAAACCTCGAATACGCAGCCCCGTACGTCGCGCCCTTCATAGCCTGCTCCAGCGTCAACGCACTATCCCCATTCGTAACCGTCTCCCTCTCCGGCTCCAGCGCCGACTTTCTCGTCGTAGCGTTATACAAATTCGGGAACGGCAGATGTCGCGCCGTTGGTGCATCAGTCCCTATAGCGACGTTTGCGTGGCCATCGAGACACTCTTTGTAAGGGAAGCAGTGTTTCCACGCAGAGGGCTTGACGAGCTTTTCGTAGCCTTCTAGAATGGCGGGGTCGCTGTGTACTGGTTGCACGGAGGCGGTGATGCCGAGACTGCCGAGACGGAGGGCGTCTTCGGGGGTGGCCATTTCTAGATGTTCGATACGGTGGCGCGCGGTGGGATTGTTGGTGCTTGCGATGGCGGAAATGGCTTGAGAGACTGCTACATCGCCGATGGCGTGGATGGCACATTGCATTCCAGCTTTTGTGATCTGTGCCAGAACGCGGTTCATTGCCTCACCAGGCCATAGCGGTTCCACCAGATCAGTTGATTCGCCGTAAGGATATGACAATGCGGCTGTGCAGCCGTCGACTGTACCATCGCTTATGAGCTTGACGCCAACGATGCAGAATTCGGGTGATTTCGAAGGATGGAATTTACTGTGCATGTCGATGGCTTCTTGGATCTTCTCGTCGAGGGCCTTCTCATCTGCTGCGTATGCAAGGAACCAATGAGCTGCGATGTGAAGATTGAGCCCCTTCCTCTCTCGCAACGTCTGCAAAGCTTCCCAAGCTACTGCATCCATTGCCATATCGATAACGCCAGTGTATCCCTCGGCAGAATAAGCCTGAATAGCGCGTTCCAGGGCTTCAAGTTTATCGTCCATTGAGAGTGACTGGATCAGATGGGGCCAGATAAATGCCATAACAGCCAATTCTGCCAAGAGTCCAGTTGGATTCCCGTCCTCATCGCATGTAATATGTTCGGGACACGTCGCCTTAATCTCATCAATTGGTAGTTCTTTCAGAGCAGCGGTGTTGCACCACGCTGAATGAAGATCGTTTGAATCGATGAAAATAGGTCGTGGGTCGATATCATCAATCATACTTGCAAGGGCAACTCCATCCGTCGCAGATTGAAGCCATCCCCTGCACAGAATCCTGGGCAGGTCAGGATTGGCAGCAGCGAAGTCTGTTATCCGCTGCCGAATCTCTTGTAGGGATTTACAGCCTCCAAGATCGAGCTTTTGCTGTGAAAGACCAAAGAATAAAAGATGGACGTGACTGTCGATGAATCCGGGAAGAACAACGCGGTTATCAAGATCGAGAACCTCTGCGCCTTGAGATTTTGCGTCTTGAACTGCTTTGTCGTCTGCAGATCCGATGTAGGTGATTTTAGATCCTTCGACAATCATACACTCTCGATACGAGTCACCATCGCCGACGAAACGGCCATTGGTGAGAATTGTTGGAGACATTACCACGCCCGCTGATGATGAGAGAAATAGTATCTGATGATAGGAAGAAGAAATCGCAAGAGATGTTTAGGAAGACGAAATGTAATGAGATGGAGTTACAGGGTCTTATCAATATGAGGGAAATCGAGACTATGATGAAAGCGGCAGCAATTCAGCATTAGACGGTTTGGCGCATCGGACTTCTCAATGGGTCGACCTGCTAGAACCGGACGAGATTGAGCTTGGAGCCGTGTCGACCTGCTAGAAGGGGCTTAGGTTAGTGGGGAGCTAGGGGACCGCGGGGGGCTTGACAGTTGAACTTGGGGATCTAGGCCTGCTGTTGATTGGGTCCTGGGGCGATGAGATTTAGATGAAAGTAAATCGAGGTGGGAAACGCCGTATGCGTTCCGCGGAATACGTTTGCGGGGAAGAAATTGGTTCTGAGAAGATTACTGATACATCTGATTGGGGCTTAGATCTATATTCCGGGTTATTGAACTTGCCTATCGAATGAAAGCTGTCTGATTGAGGCTGATGGTTACCGAATGCCAGGTTATATCGGCGTTTCGGCTCCGAAGCCCGGGTTTCTCCACCTCCACCCCTCTGCGGTTTTATCTCGATACGGAACAAACCACAATACGCAAAAATGAATCGGGTTCCGACTAGAGGCTCTCCACCAAGTGGCTCAACACAGCCAGCGCCACTAATAGAAGAGCCAACTCGTGAAGGAGAAGCTGCTCAAGACTGGGGTGAATACGTTGACTCAGATGAAGAACCCGATGTCGAATTCGCTTGTGAGGATATTAACCTCTACCCTAGAGGTTTCTACTATCCAATCTCAATCGGTGAGATTCTTATGGAGCGGTATCATATTATCCATAAGCTTGGCCATGGCGCATTTTCGACTGTTTGGATGGCGCAGGATATGGCACAACATAAAGATATTGCGCTCAAGATCTTGATGCTGGGGGGCTCAGATGAGCGTGATTATCACATGCAGAGTGAGATAATTGGTTCGGCGGAAGACTTGACATATTTATTGGTATACCACGAAACGTTTCTGCTCCCTAGCCCTCATGGCAAATACAGAGTCTTCGTCCTTCCCATCCAAGGACCAAACTTGAGGAATCACCCTCCCACAAAAAAGCCCATTGCAACCAGGATGAGATTTGCAGTGCAATTACTCAACGCCTTGAAGACACTACACGACGCTGGCGTAATTCATTCTGGTACAGTCCCCCGACACCAAGTGAGGCACAGCTAACTAATAAGTAGACTTGAACACTGCCAACATCATGTACACTCTTCGCCCTCTTAATGACAGTATAACTGGGAAGTACAAACAAATCGGACGACCCAGAAAAATGAAACTATGGACTGAGCAGTGGAAAGACGGCGAACTGGTCATGCCTATGAAGCCAAAAGAGGAACTTATAGGAGATTCCATCGTTCTTGGTGACTTTGGTCTAACCCATAAACCTGGTGCTTCGGCTCAGAAGCTGCAATCACCTGCTACTTACTGCGCGCCTGAACGGGTACATAACATCAACCCGTCCTATGGTTCTGATATATGGAGTTACATGTGTATCTTCTTTGAACTATACACAGGACTGTGTCTTTTCCAAGGTTGGGGTCATACATCAGTGGTGTCTTCTATCGTTTGTGCCCTTGGTCCTCTTCCAGAGTCTTGGAAGGGAACTTACCACGTTAGTAGCTCAGGCGAGGACAAATGGTATGAGCGGAATTGGCAAATAGATTCAGAGTTTGATCTGAAGGAGAGGCTCACCCAGCTTCGCCCTGGTGTGGAAATGAGGGAGTTGGAGCTTGTAGTGTCGATACTACGAAGGGGACTTGTCTACCAACACGAGAACCGGATCACAGCCGCGGAGCTTCTAGAGGACGACTCATTCCAAGAAGTGATTAGTATATATGCAAGGTAGGATTGGCTGAGGTCTCAGAGTGCCAATATAATATCCCATGTAGATGAATGGGATGTTAAGAGCTTATCTTATGTAGATCTAAAAGTCTTGGCTGTACGTCTGGGCTATCGGTTTATAAAAGCTATAACATAAAACTAAAGACTAAATATCTGAATGTTGGTGACTGCTGAAGAAGCTATATATAGAATTCCCCTCCTTGGTATTAATGTATCAGATAGTGTCTGTTTTATAAACATTGGTCTGACCAGACACCTTCATGTCCCCCATCACTTCTTCTACGCCTTCAATAACCTGTACATCTAGCGAGGTCTCATCATGTGTAGGAGGAGAAAACTTAGACTGACCCTCTAACAACCATCCAGCAGTCATTGCAACGGCCAAGCATCCCATGATCAAGACTGTGTAGTTCATTGTTGCAGCAGTGACAGGGTGCGTCTGTGGAATCTATACTTGAGTTAGCTTTCTTGATCGGATATGTTAACACCATAAACTTACAAACGCAACAATGACAACTATAATACAATACAGTATTGTGACAGTGTATATCATGCTTGACCATCTACCGAAGTTCCATGATACGCTCGAAGGAAGCGTTGATCGTTTCGTAAGCAAGAGTAAAAGAGCAGGAAAGCCTTGTGCACAGTTAGTAATAATGTAGTCGGAGAACAATAAGGAAGTCTTACCAAAGCTGATGATCTGACAAACGGCTTGAGCGCCGATGATGGCATTGAACGCAGTAAGTGAGAATAGATAACTATAGACTGTCAGACAAGATCCGTATTGCCAGAATGATCATCTCACATTAGGCCGATTACGACAACAACTGCGGATGACAGGTTGATAGACCACGTAGGGAGGTTTGTGCGAGGTGACAAGTAAGTGAGTCTTGTGGATTGTCAGTAATGGAATCTGATGTCTTGTATGTTGATTGATACCTTTCATTCCAGAAGAGACCGTTATCCCGCGCAAACGCAAAGCCCTGTCGACTCATCGTGATGGCCGAGCCGAGTGACGATCCAATCATGTTAACTAGCAAGATGCAGCAGAACACGATGGCAGCAACTCGGCTACCAGTAGCAAGTCGAACAAGCTCAATTACTGGGACACTGCAGCTGACGTCAGCTCACATCAAATGTGTGAATATTGGCCTCGGTACATACCCAGTAGATGTTGCAATGACGGCATCAATGTCTGTGATGGAGAAGCCAAGAATCAGGATCCAAATAAGGCCAATTGCAAACTGACTAAGAATGACGATGATCATGATGCGAGGCAAGAAACGTTTAGGTTGGGGAATCTCCTCCGCGAGGTGGGCAGGGCTGTCGAGGCTCATAAGAGTTGAGAAGCTATTCATCAACCCAAGTAGAACCGCGAGCGCAGTCGAAGAGTACCTAGGAAATATGGTGTTAGGCTAGAGTATACGACGGCCAATATGAGACTAACCCGGTGTTGTTTCTCGTCTCTACTAAGACAAAGCTTGCAGACGGCTTTGGTGCCTTGATAAGAAGCAAAACAGAGAATGCAACGAAGCCAATTGCGGTTGCCCAGACTAGAGTAGAAGATAAGCATAACCACGATTAGTGAGGGTTGGTCGACTTACATCCTACGTTCTCCAGGGTCGGTATTCCACGGAGTCCAAAGAGATTGATAATCCAACAGCCGATCGCCACTATCAGATAAGCAACGAAGAGACGCCAGCGGACTGTTACATCAAAGTCCGCGTCACAGAGGTTGATCAGAGCAAGAGTCAAAGTGGCAGTGACAGCGCAACAAGCTGCGTGTGTCAGAACCCAACCAGCGTAGTTAAGCCATCCCAGAGGATAAGAAATCTGCCAACAATACTTCTCCGGAGTGAGGAACACCGCATAATGATAAGCGCCACCTGTAGCAAATCAGAGTTGAGCAGCCAAAGACTCTAGGTCAGCAGACATACCAGCTGTCGCGAACCTAGAAGCGCATTGAGCAAAGACGAGCATGATGCACATGACACATAGCGATGAAGCAGTGCTGAGAGAAAGGCATGGTGTTAGTTACGCGTGAGGTGTTGATCATGGACCGTCATGAACTCACTAGCCATAGACAAGTGCAGGTAAGCCGCCAGCCGAGAGACTGACAAAGAGAATGAAGGATATTCCACCAAAGGAATTAATGGTTAGCCATCCTATACTGATGCCGCTCCAAAGGCCAAAAGTATTGGGGAGCTGCTTGTCTTGGGAAGAAATAGCTCGGACTGCCATATTGAAGTGTAGTGAGAAAGTGTAGACTGATTTGATGATTCAGTGTTACACTCGGCAACAGCTAGACATTAAGTAGCCATCCTTATCAGTCTTTGGAAGGCAATTATATTAACCGTCTCACAAGATTAGGATTATCGCTGCCCTCACCCAGATTCAACCAAAGGCTACAGGAGAGTGGCAATGGTGCCTAGCCTGGTACTGGAGACCTATCGAGGAAAAAGAAAGCTCAAGACTTTGAAAGAGGTTGTCAAATTAATTTAGTTATGATAACCCCCAAATCTTGGGCTAAGTCACCTATATATTTTCGTCACTTACGGTCAAGGTTCCAATTCTCGTTGCAAACAGTATAATCCAGGCCTTCACGTGATGCATGCGAAATGCAACAATCTTGTCGCCTTTGTCAATGGCGTGGGAACTCGAGCTAGCACAAGATAGGTTGTGTTAATGCTATCAACAGACTTTATGCCAATTCGTTATCACGATAAGCGTTGCCGAGATTAGCTGCTTGGGACCCTGATTCGTCAATTCGATCTTTTGGCAAGAGTTAGTTGAAGCCACATGCGATAAGATAATCTTGATGTTGATTCGACAGAGCTTATCTGGATACGCATCAAGGACGATTCGCAGCTTGACATACACTACTGAGCCGAACGGTTGCTTGTCTCTCGCTGTTACCGTTGCCCACCAAACCTCCCTCCAATCTGTCAACGCTTATCGATCTGATTACACTCTATAGCTTGACAGTCACAACTCTCTCGCAGAAGCATTGTCTGTAACCCATCAGGGAGAACCTGGTAAAACACAGTAAATTCAATGGCTAGCACAAGGTCAAGGCATGGTACGACCAAATCAAACCCACTATCAGCTTCCAAACACCCTCAACTAATAGGCTTCAGGATGTTGGACCTGTCGTAGAAGACACCAAAGGTGCGACGAGGAGAAGCCTGCATGTTTGAACTGTCGCTCGAGAGGAGCCGAATGCGGAGGCTACGCCGTTGAACTGGCCGACTTCTCAGCCTACAACGGCCCCCATGGGCAGATGGTATCCAAAGGTGACACGGGGACGCCCAGCGATACGACCCAAAACGAAGCGAGATCTCAAGAAATAGGTCAAGCCACTGAGTGTCGATAAGCGCGCCAGCCCGACGATGCCAGAGCCCAGCTTAGCGAGCTGTAACCACCGTATCGACAAAGTTCCCAACACACGTGAGGGACAACCATCTCCTTCCTCACATATCATTGCTTCACTTCCAGAATCAATGAGCTCAGTTGAGAGTCAGGCCGATACGATCAAACTTAATAATGCACTGGGGTCGCTCTCTAGTAGCCTGTCCAATACTGGTGAAGACCCCAGTCGTCCGAGCTGGGTAGAAGGCTCTTTTGAATGGCTAGACGCCACTGCTATCAAAGACTTGGACTTTTCAGAATCCTTTGGACTGCCGGATGAAACTCATACAGATAGCAGTACTAGTGAGGTGGATGTCGTAGGAGATGCTAGCTTTGCAGAGGTATCATCACTAATCTCGCCGATGGCGCAACTCGAAACGATTGATCAATACAGTGACGAATGCGGTGTAGTCGAAGGAAACTCGGGGCTATTAAATCCAGGTCTTGCTTGGCAAGGTTTTCCTCTTTTACATCAGCCCAGCTGTAATATAGAGGAACGTTTGCTAAAACATTGTGAGTCCCAATATTGACTCATTGCATGACTTGATGAAGTTGAGGACTAACTGTACGCCTAGTCATGACCAATCTCTCAGTGCACCTCTACCCAGTCAACCAAGCTCGAAACCCTTATACAACTGTATACGCAATGCTAGCCAAAGAATCCAGGCCAATGTTGGACGGCATTTTGTTCTCATCGGCCATGCACTTGACGAACTTGGGTCACTTGAGCCACAGCGCTCTAAAACCATACCGATCGGCTCGTCAAAAGTCTTTCCGTGGCGCGATACAAGCTGGAAATAATTATTGGGCACTTGGCCTGACAGTCCTACTCTCTATAGCTATGGATGTAAGATCGCTATATCTATATGTACTATTCGACATTTACTAAATTATTCTCAAGGTGATAGGGACAGGCATGGACTTATGGAGCTCTAAGCTTGCTGGCTGTCGTAAGCTTCTTGAACTTGGGCTGACCAAGTCTTCAGACCCAATTGACGCGGGCCAGAAATGCGCGTTGATGCAATTTAATTGGATGGTTACTATGGGCAAGACACTGCTCATGGGAGTGCGACCATTGAGGTCCCTGGAGGCTCTGGATTGTATACACAGAGGTATGTTGAGCATCCATAAGAGTAATTTCCCAGATGACTTGCACTGACACAAACCCAGATGAGATCTATAGCGAGCCACTTGATGATAGTGACATGGCCTTCCAGCAGCAGCACTGGTGGGCCAACATGCCAGACTTCCGCATGCACCTTTTGCCACGTGAGGCAACAGATCTTGCCGTTGAGGTGCAGAAGGCCAAGGACAATGGAGATGTAGCTACCATACTAAGAACCATGCCACAAGTAGGCGACCTCGTTCAGCGGATACAAAACTGGCATCCTGATCCATCCACCGTTGCCCCAGAGTACGCAGATTCGGTGGTTCACTTTAATTGTCTCTGGAGGCAGGGGCTTCTTTACTTTGTGTATCACGATATCTATCATCTCGACTCAAATGACGAGAGAGTCCAAGGCTGCGTTGAGAGTTCAGTCAGTTCCCTTGAGAGCCTAAGTTGGTTTCAAGCCTGCCAATGGCCTATCTTCATGCTTGCCGTACATGCGAAAACAGAGCGATCGAGGAATTGTTTTGAAGTAGGCTTTGTAGTGATGCATGCGACACTTGGGTTTTCTGCGCCCAAGAGTCTTGTCTTGGTGTTGCAAAGGATATGGCAGGCAGCTGACGCAGGTGCTTCGAAAGGATGGACAGATGTGGTGGAGGAAATGGGCATAGAGCTTAATATTCTACTGTAATCTTGATAGTACAGAGTTTAGGTTGAATTTGATGAAATAACTGCCTTCTGTTTCTTGCACTCAACCCTCTAGATGTAGTGTGTTCTACCAAGTTTCAGCTTTAGGAAAAGTGAAAGAATGTCTATTGGAAGCGCTCCATGTAAACCAATTGCCTACTATAACTAAGCAACTACCTGTCCCTCGATACTGCCATACCCGAATGGATCCTCCTTGCTGCCGAGAGGGACAATGGGATCCTTCATATCTACATGACCGCAGGTGGGGTGACTAACTGAGTAGCCCAGCAAGGACTGCACCTCTGGATCATAGTCCTTGATAACTTCATAAGGTATAGCCAGATACTGGTTCTCGTCGGCCCGGTACGAGCCACGAACCATGTGCGAAGAGAAGATATTGCGTCGCTCGTCGGTGATATTGGCTCCAGCGCCGTGCCAAACACTCCCAATGATCATAACTGCATCGCCCTTTTCCATCTCGGCAGTTGAGCACAGAAATCGGTCCGCTGGGCCGGAGATAGCAGCCTCTGGCCAGAGGTGAGAGCCAACAATTATCTGCGTAGCTCCGTTCTCAAAGGTGCATTTCTGATCTATGTCAGTTGATCCTCGACAGCGGGGCGTTCTGGAGTCACTTACAGTTCCAGCGACAAGGAGGCCGAGTAAAGAGCTCTCTCCGCTACCCTCGACGTGATCGAAATGCTGAGCCATGTCGTCACGGTGGAGTGGTTGGGCCTTGGACCGTTCACGGGAGAAAGCCTCCGAGACTGCCAAAACAGGGTTGGAAACACACTTGTACCGCTTGCCATCGCGGAAAGGGTACCTTCATGTTATTGATTAGATACGAGTCCGGTATTGTCAAAGATGCAGTGTGTTGTCACTTACGACTCTTCCTTGAGCAGTAGCTTTGCTGCCTCACGGTAAACGGGATGATTGATGCCTTTGTGGGCAAATGTGGGAGACTTTCCAGCAAACCCGCTATTTTATGGTCTCAGCTATTTGATTCCCAGTGCTCGTGATTCCAGGCTTACCTCAGTGGTGGATCAGTAGGTGGAAACAGTGTTCCCTCATATTTACCAACCTTCTGGTAGTGAGGATCGGCCTCTTTCTGAATCTGATCGGCTTCCTCGGGCGTGATGAAATTCTTGATGATGATACCTCCATCACGGCGAATGACATTGACTATCTCTTCGATTGGGGACGAGGCCGGCAGAGCGGTAATCTCGGGGTTGTTCTTCTGGTGAGGGGGGTTTGGCATCTTGGCTGGTAAAGCTTGCAGTAGTGTAAGATGAAGTTATTGATGAAAAAATGACTTTGCTAAGGGTTATTGCCGAGATTCGAGGCGCTGGTAAACAATGTACATATATGCATATTTTCATCCTATGATAGTAGAACGACAGCCGTTAAGAGGTGTTCACAGTCCAAGATCGTTCTGTTAGGCATGCGATAGCGTTAACACGTCCTAAAATGGAAGTGTTAAAGCTATCATCGCCTCAACGCTTATTGGCAGGTTCTTATCGCCTGGAGGCGAATTAGCTGTTGGTGCGGCACCGTCTTTCATCAGCTCTTATCAGGTCTTATCAGCGAGGTCTTACTACATCCGTGCAGGGTAGGGGTTGATGCACAAGATACCTTAGCCATTGATCCTTTGATATGTTGTGTGACAGTATAGTATAAAGTTCATAAAGTCAAGTCGATCAACACACCCGTAGATACTGATCAACTATTTCACAAAATTACTTTTTCCAGTCTTTTGCCAACATCGTCAGCCTCTTCATCATGTCTATAGTCAAGAAATTCTCTGCATCAGCTCCAGCCCAAGACATTTTTCAGATTCTCACAGCAGATAACGTCGTCGTGATCGAGAGCGCTGCAAAGGCTGAATCTCTCGACGCCACCATCAGCGAACTCGGATCGTTGACTGAGGGCCAGAACTTTGGTCTAGTTGGCAAAAGCCGCACATTCGCTACCGAGCTTCTTATGAACGATCTGTTCATCGACCTCACCAAGCGTTTTCTCACGGATACATGCACTATCTACTACTCCGATGAGCGCACTGTTTCTACTGCTGAGCCTCAGGTGTCGTTCACGTCTGCTCTCGTATCCCCGCCTGGCTCCGCTGGCTGGGGCCTCTGTCGCCAAGATGACTGTCATCATACAGTTCACCCTGCCAAGCGAGAGACAGACTTTGGGATTGCGTATGCAGCGACTGATATCACCAAGCATAATGGTGCCATTCGCGCTGTCATTGGATCCAATATGTGGAAGAATTCTCGAGATCCCACAGATAAGGATGAAACGCTTATCGAGCTGAACAAGGGCAATGCAATCCTTTGGTAAGATTTCCACTTATGTAACTTATACCTCTATGTTTAAAACCTTTATGGCTTAATAAAGCTTTATTTAATAAAAACCTAGCCCTAAATATAACCAAATCTTTAACAAGCTTTTCTACCTAATACTACCTACTAGTCTAACTTTTTCCCTTATTACTTACTACTTAACTTATTATTAAAAAAGCCTTAACATTTTATAAATTTACTATATTATATATCTAAGCTATATTTTATATTACTTTATTAATTACTATTACCTTATTATTTAGTAATAAATTTCCTACTTATTAAAAAACTAACTTTATATATTTTTAATCTTTATAAAAATATAAATAGGTATTATATATAAAGTAAATAAG